TCAAGAAATGAGCAATCCACCGATTAAGGGATTAAATATAGGCCATCTACATCAGGGTATTACAACCATCCCTCAATAGAGACGGGGGGCGCCACAGACTTCCTGCAACTGATGATCCACTGCTCACGGAGTCACGTGTGTTATCTGCGTGACGTCACGGAAGCGGTGGATTGTTCATTCCTTGACAAAGACTGGAGTTGTACAGTTGAAAATTTGGGTGAGTCCAATTTCTTGTGTTGGAAATTACAGTTTAAACTTGCTTCATAAAAACAGGATATGATTGCTTTCAAAGTAAAACGAAATGCTTCAAGACATCGGTATTTCAATCATCATATGTGATTTTACAGATATTTATTTTACAAGCACAGCACATCAAAAATGTGAACAAAGAAATGTGATATTTATTGCACTTATTACATCACGTTTTCTGTTGAAACAGAAATGTGCATTCAATATAACTTGATGTCATATCATAGACTGTGAGATATTACTCGCACATCCGAATGAAACTCGTAGAATTTGTGCAGACTGATTACATACTTCACTATTAGGCGACGCCAAAATTGGAATAATCCCCCTACTGGGGGAACTCAGAATTTGACTTTGTTTTTGACACCATAGAAGTTTCCAGGCATAAATTCCCGGTCTTAATAGTGTGTTTTGATTCGAGAAATGTATAGAGTATGATTGGGGAGCTATCTGAATATTTTGATTGCATATCAGCTACGCAATAATTTTCCTTCGTAACTTGCTTAAGTTCCAAGTAGAAATATATGTGCTGGAGTAAAGGAGCCTGCAGTGTTGGTGACATTGAGGGAAGTACAGTCTGTTGTCATCAATTAAAACATGCTTCTGTCATTGTGTGTTTGTTTATTTGAATCAAACTTTACCATTAAACAAAATAGATGAAGATCGTCTATTTCTATTTCACTCCATATCATAGGTACCAGTATACGAAATATATTGTATTTTTAACAAGTAGTTCACGTACAGGTGCAGGCTAGGCCTATAGTTTTACTTTTAAATTACTGCATGATTCATTCTGGTTGCACTAGCCCAGCAATGTTCATATGGCTGTTCGTTGCAGTTGTTCGTCTGTTTGACGGTTTGACTGCCTGTATGAAACCAAGACCGCCTCATTCCCTCTAGGACGGCCTCTGTTCCGCAAACAGCGACCTCATGTCCAGTCGGACGAATGGCCTGCAGGGAGACACATCAAGTTTTGCATGTTGTAGAGAATATTTATATCACTGCACAAAATCTATTAAGCACACATTAAAGCATGCGTAAATATTCCGTTTCTTCCCTCGTGCACCTTAACGCATGATCATTAAGCATGATCTTTAAGCAAACCTTAAGTTAAGGAGTGCTCAAAGATAGGATTCCGTACAGTGCTAATGGCCTTTGACACCAACAATTTCGAAAAGATAAGGCATAACTTAACGGTATCTTATGTAAGACAAAGACAAGAATGCAGTTAAACATCGTCAACTTTTGTGAAAGGCGTCTCCCTTGTATGTTCATTGTGGTGTTGCGTGTTCGTCACTTTACAGTAATGACAAAGCTCTATATATCCATTGGCCTGAGGAGTGTCCATTAGCCATCGAAGATTTGCCGCCATACAATCGCAACGTCAAAAGGCTATTAACATCCAGTTGACTAACAAACACTCGTATTGCAAATGGATAATGTTTGCCACCGTATGATCTGCTTTGGGATCATCACACGGTTCCTTATAAAGCTTGTCTGTTTTTTTACCTGTCATACGCATTGTCCGGTCCTGACTCCCCAGTACCTCGTGCATTGGCCACGAACATCAGCTGATTGGTCAGATCGTACACGGCGATGTGCAGGCTGCCTAAAGGGGACAGGAACATCATTATCAACTTATTGTTTGTGTTTGTGTGTGTGTGTGTGTGTGTGTGTGTGTGTGTGTGTGTTTCTGTTTGTATGTGTGCGTGAAGTGACTACCGTGCTCGAACTGTGATGATTTTGTTGGTTCTTGCAATCCTTTAAACTCCAAGCAGGTGTTCTGGTAGCCAGACAATTACCATTTGCCACCCACCCAAGACGAATGGTAACACTAAACAGACCACGCTAGTATGGATGAAAATCTAGAGTGTCTTTTTTACGATGTTTACTTGTCTGCTGCAGAACCCAACACAAGATGGTGTCAGCGGTGGGATCCTGATGAGTACTAGCCTGTTTTGCACATACATGTACAGACCACGCTATCAGAATAAACATCTGCAGTCGGCTCTCAAATATGGTGTCTCTTTTGCACTATGTTTGCTCGTCAAAACAAACACAAGATGGTGTCAGCGGTGGGATCCTGAAGAGTATAGGCACGTACAGACCACACTAGTGAGACTAAACATCTGCAGTCGGCTGTCAGTGTCTCTTTTGCAATGTTTAACAACCTAACGCAAACACAAGATGGTGTCAGCGGTGGGATCATGAGGAGTACTGACCTGTTTGCACATACGGCATGACGGCTCTAATTGCAGCCTGTGCCGTCAGGTTGCCATGTAAGGTGTTGAGCTGCTTAGCCAAGACCTCACTGTATCCTGGGCACAGCCAGTCCATACCTGCAGCCATTGAAATACAGTCAATGAAATCGTTAACATCTTAGACGTTTGAACCTCTTTTTCTCATCCACAGTTTACAAAACCTCCGTACATGTGTGTGATAGTTTTATATGGAAATCTCTGCGTGGCAGTTTATATGTGTCGGTAAAAGGTCTTATTTGCGTAAAACAAAAGAAACTTTAGTCAATATTTTTTGTCTTCTCTAGGATAACACAAGTCACATTTCCGTGAGGAGGAGATCATTTTACTAAAGAAGACCAGAGATTTGGTTTAGAATTCTGTGAGACTCTCTTGGGTTGACGAACATGTTGAGCTCTTTTCGTGGTGCAAGAATCTGCCCCTATAACCAAACACTGCACAAAATCCATTCTTTAATCACACCTTAAAGCCTTAAAGCATGCATAAAGGTACACAGGAAGCGAAGAAACGGATTCTTTAGGCATGCTGAAAGGTGTGCTTGAAGACTGCAGTTCTAGCTATTAAGCATTCTGCCGAGCTCGCATCGACATGGACTGTTGCCTTACCAAAGTAAACCACATCCTTGATCAGCGGGTGCCAGTCTGCTGCTGGCTTCAGGTTCTGGTCGTCGAAGAAGTTAGCAACAGAGGCTGAGTATTGCACACCACGGAACTCGTTCAGCTGGAAAAATATCCGAACATTCTTGAAAATAATTTCATCACATTCGTAGAACAAAGGATGTGGGGTTTTATAGTAAAACATTGAACTTTCCAACACACAGGTTACAGAGAGATCAAATTTTCAGCGACCACTGTCACCTTCATTAGGATGACCAATCACTTCACAACGTGATCTCGCGAGAGTTACGATTTATAAACTCGTGTGAATAAGGTCACGTGTTTGTAAACCATAACTCTCGCGAGATCACGTTGTGAAGTGATAGGTCATTGATTATCCTGATGAAGGCGACAGTGGTCGCTGAAAATTTGATCTCTCTGTAACCTGTGTGTTGGAATAAAGTTCAATGTTTTACTATGATTACTACCAACACAGATGAACTTTCATGATAATATGGGATTTTGTTTTACACAACTAGTAATGTCTCTCACCTGCTTGACGTTCATCGTTACCTCCGTTGGCCACGTATTTTTTTTTTTTTACTTACTTCAGAATTCACCTCAAAACAAGGCTCGTGAGAGACACTTACATGTTTTGGGTTACAGTGATGACTGCGTGGTCAGATATTTGTTCACCCTTGATTTAAACCGTTGGAGGTTGTAATTAGCGGTGAAACATTCACGGGGAAGCTTGTTCCACAGTGAAGTGGTTCTGGGGAAGAAACTGTCAGCATGAAATTTTCTCTTGACTGATGGACTATTGAGGAAGAAAGGGTGATTTTCTGCTGTTGAGGTGGCTAAGCGTATAGCGGTGAGAAGCAGTACTTCAGATCAAGCTCACATTTCGAGCATTTATTGTTGGTGCTACAAAGCCCACACAAGGCACACAAACTGTGGTGCCAAAACTACCAGAATTTAGAAAAAAAGCATGGCTGGTAGCTTAGTTTCCAAATGTTAAAAGACAGTCTTAATTAATATGTCATATTTTTGGCACATCCGCTTCCTGAATGACACTTTGCAATGGAGTAGGGTTGATTTAACTGTTAGTAAAGAAATTACCAGAGAGTTTATTTTCTATATCGTCCTAATGTTGCATAATGTAGCTTTAAACACGATGGTCTGAAATGTCGGTGAGAGGCCCACCTTGCCGTCGCCAACCCCGAAGATGAGGTCACAGGTCCGTGCGGAGTTCGCGATGCGGTTGATGCTGTCATCTATGGTTTCATCAAACTGGAGGATGTCTCTCAACAAGTACTAGGAAGGATGGCGAAAAAAACAGGAAATCCTTCATTCCAGTATTTGAAACATGTACATGTACTCCATGGCTGGTGAAACATAAGCCAATAGTTATTATGCAAATAACGACCGACTTTGGACAATCAGTTAGAGGTTACCATTGCTATTCATATATCATGTTAATGAGGAGTTCATTTGCTCAATAAATGATGAAATGTTGAATTGAAACATTACTAAAGAATAGACCTTTCACACCTAAAATATATGTAATTTGAGTTGAGTTGAGTTGAGTTGAGAAATCTGAAAATTAGAATAGATAATGCTAATTACAATTTAATTTACATAATTGATGGGACAAATAAAAAACATATAACAAAGCTCTCAATATTTCATGGAGATGAGATCTTTTGTTTCAGATTGTACTAAAATAGCCTGGTTACCAAACCTATTCTAGCTCCCGAGTCCTACAAATATTTTCGGAGAGAATGTAGGACTCGGGAGCTATAATAGGTTTGGTAACCAGGCTAGTGCTAAAACACATGGGAGCGGTAGGGATTCCAAGCGGGAATTCACCCATGCCGCCAATGATGACTTACCTAAACCACTCACCAAACTAGAGAAGTAATATTTGCAAAGCAAATGCATAATGTTTACCTTCGGACATGGTCTGCTCTGTTAATTCTTACTCAAGCACATTCACATACATGTACTACTAGTATATGGTGACAGGACCAGAGCAGACCATGAAATTGCAACATTATGTAACCCAACACCAGTCACCATGGTGACAGACAACAAATCGTGTCATTGGTCAGGTCATAGGTCACTGTTTGGAGAAGGACGAAACGGAGCAAAAACAATATGTTTTCCTTCAGTAAACATAATAAACGTGAAGCACGCTGGGGCAACTCACTGTCTTACAAATACTCGAGCTACCAAATTTGCCTCCTTGGTATCATATTAGCATATCGGTGGCACTAAACGATGCACTTTTAGTGAGTTGCGTTGGAGATGAATGAAGTGTTAGTCTCTATAATTGTATGTACTAGTTGAAATCACCGTGAATGGCACCCCAAACCTGGACTCCGCCCCAAACGAGTCGTCAGGGTAGGACACACCGATCTCAGAAATCGCCATCTGCTTCTCTGACATGCCTTGAAATTCGGAACGAGACAGGCAATAATAAACTTATTATTTCACTACTTACAAGATCCATACAAATGTCGTCAGATGCCATTTAATAAGCAATTTTATCAAACGAGAAATCCAAATCCTATCTGTATCTAATTGATCTGTACAGCCGGTGTAACCGTCCCTCGGCGTAACACACCAGCTTCTGTATCCTTATTCTGTATACCCAGCATTCACCACAATGAACTTGGAAAGAAAATTTTAAAAATACATATTGACTTGTGACAACCCCTACATGCTATACATAGGGATTTATATTAAAAACTGTATGGATATTAGAAACTCCTTAAACGATTGTATAAGTTGATACCTATCTCATACTAGTCTCAGCCTAATCTCATACCTATCTCAGCCTTATGAAAATGTAGTTGACATGTACTTACTTACATTAGTAGATGCCATACTTTGTACACTGTACAATTGTTGCGCAATAAAGTTATGTATAGCCGGGATGACCACCCCTTTGGCGTAACACACCAGCGTCGCAGGAACGCGGCACGGCAACTAGCTACTAAGTTTATTACCCCACACGACTTGTTACGCCTAACATTTTCACATCTAACTATAAACATTGTTTAACGCTATCTAGTCAGGATTTCCCCACCGTACTTGCTGGCAGTGAGCTCCACTGTACAATAGTTCAAGCGAAAAAAAAGAGTCAGAGTTTTTGAACACCTCAATCCTTGTTTGATAACACTGGTGCTTGAAGGCATGACTATTTCTTGTTTCTGTGCTGGTACTAGGTGCTTAGTAGTACGACCACCAGTTTATTGATGAAGGATATTTACCGGTGATGGAGCCGATCCAACCCGACCAGCCGACGTTAGCGAAGGCGTGCCCGTTCCCTTCCCCCTCGGGGTGGTATACCGTGATCTGAGGGAAGTCCTGCAGTGGTCCTGGAATAATAAAGACTTTTGTGTTATTGTTTGTTGTATTTGTTGTAATTTATCATTATTAACGGGAGGGTCCTACATGTAAGTTCAGCAACTGTTCTACATGTTGACGGGTGTCTTTTGCTACTGTACGTCTGACCCTAATCCCATCAAAAATAAGGTCAGATCTTGAAACAGCAATATCCCGTGATTAAAGGTGTACAGACGTTAATTTCCTTTTTACCGTTCCGCTCTGTAGCTTGACAGCTCACGATTTGAGGAGACCTTTTTAGGTAAGGTGTATTTTTCACAATTCGTCCAAAATAAAATAAAACAAAATAAAATGAAATAAAAAAAATTAAATAAAATTAAATAAAGTAAAATAAAATAAAATAAAATAAAATAAAATAAAATAAAATAAAATAAAATAAAATAAAATAAAATAAAATAAAATAAAATAAAATAAAATAAAATAAAATAAAATAAAATAAAATAAAATAAAATAAAATAAAATAAAATAAAATAAAACAAAACAAAATAATGGCTGGTGTTCGGGATTACAATGTAGGTTGGGCGTTTTTAGCACTCAAATTAAACTCAAATTCGGCTTGATTCGTATCGGAAGGTAGGTATGCCCTGGTATGGCCTGTTCGGGGGAAGGTCCTCAATGTGTGACAGGGACTTAAATATTATAGATAACCTTTATTGTACATTATAGTACTAAGTACAGGTGAACAGATGAAAAGGTTTATACATATTTGTAGTACAAACAGGACTACTGATACTGAACTACACTAGCTCTAAAACTACTCTAGGCTTTTTCTCGTTTCTTTGTGACGTTATGAATATAATTTGAAATGAGTTTGTATAATAAAGGATGACAGAAGCGCACGAGGAAGATTAATTTTTCAATAGTCAAGGGTTAGGGGTATGGACACTATTGTAATTTATTTAAAAAGATTATTTCTATCATTACACACACCGTCTGTGATCCAGTCCAGTGCTCGGAGCTGCAGAAGCTGTGTGGCAGGTAACATGGTCCCGTACGGGAACAGCGCCTTTCCCCAGGCACCGAACATGGAACAGGAACCTTTCCTGTCGGGAACAGGAGGAAATAAGTAACGTGAGACTCCGAAACATCCATAATGTTCACAATAACATCTGACGATTTCTGACATCAAATTAACAGCAATGGCAACAGTAACGACATTGGTCATAGTTTGAGTAGCCGCACCCCCCCCCCCCTAGTAATACCCATTTGGGGGTGGTCGGGGGGTATTTAAGAAGACGAAGAAGTTGAATCCTCCTTCCCAAAAGCAGTGTACATATAGCCAATTAGTCTACGCAAGTCTTAACTCATACAGTGGACAACAGCTTAATGAGAATTAAACTGTTCTCCGACTTCAGATGAACTTTCATGCTACTGAACAACAGCTGTAAATCGTAAGTGCCAGTTAAATGTTAAAAACGCCGTCAGCGCGAAATGTATAAACCATTAGATTACATAGCGCTGTTAGTAACAACAGAGTTAAACATCAGATAAAAAGAAATACCGCGATAACGTTACGGCATTTAGTTTATTGTTGATAGATGTCATGATATAAGTAACTGTTCCCCCTATTTTGAAAAAGTCGTATGACCCCGACGGATTAGCGCATACACTTTTGCGACAGTTCTTGCCGACAGGCTATCACACCGAAAACTGCACGGGGGTGTCCAAATTACTTTATTTTTTTAAAATACCTGAAAATATAGCCGGGAATATTCAACAACACGAAAAAAGGCGTCTCGGCTATAAAACAGGTATACAAAAGAAGACATCTTACGTGAGTTCTCCTATCATGTGAATCCGCAGTACTTTCTGAGAAAGAGTAAGAACAATGTTCATGTTTATATTTTCTTCCTCCAAAACACGCAGAAAATTTACTTTCTAAATAATTGGAGGCTTGTGAATAATGAGATCTGATAATTACTACATTCTACATTTATCAATTTCTAAAATGATTCTTAAAAATTTAACAAAAAACAGCACCCACCCTTCCACGTAATTTTTGCATTCAAACAAATTGACCACTGCCAACATCGCAAAAAGTACAGAATGTTGAGAATAATCATGAATAAGGGGAATAGTAACTGGTCAATATGGAGAAATAATGATCAGTATTCAAACTGAGCCTTCTCATTGGTCAACGCCATCTGGCTATACGGTACCTTATAATCCACCCCGGCAGCTGCCGCCATGCCCTGGATTTCCTCTAGAAAGTATCCACCTGGAGAACAGTTAGCCGTCAATGGGTTGTGTTTTAGTTAGCATGTGACACTACTCTCCAAGCTTGTGGGGGAATGATCGTTACCTTTTTATATATGGCCGTTTTTTTGTCGCTACCCCCACCCGTCGGTGGCCTTACCGAGGAGGTAGGTATATATAACAACGTTCTTCATTCATTATCATAAAATGACATCGGTACGGCCTGGAAAATACCTGAGAACTTTTCAGTAGCCAAGACTTCCATGTCTAAAGCAACCTCGAGTCTGGAACGTAAAGAAAAGAAAACAGAATTACACTAGAAAGGCCAATATTTGCTTTGGAGCAAATACAGCGATGGGTTCACCACATTTTACGACATGGCAGGGAAAGAATGAGAAACACAAGGGAAAACAATGATTTACATTGATATAACTATAATATGAAGTAACATACGACTAAAACAACAGTTGGATAGCTATTCCCTACTTTATTGGTTAGGATTTTTAATTGCATAATGCAAACTGTTGATTTTCAAAATAAAAATAACGTTCATGCCCCGCATTCCAATGCTGGAGCAGGAAAGCTTGAAATACCTACCAAAACACTTGAATACAGACATACTGTCAGTATGGAAATGCTCTGTGCAGGTGTTAATCAAGTTAAATCCCAACAGCCAATCAGCAAGAAATGCTCTGTGCAGGTGGAAATGCTCTGTGCAGGTGTTAATTAAGTTAAATCCCAACAGCCAATCAGCAAGAAGAATAGAGGAAAGCTGCATGCCTATTGGTTGATGCCCTGCATTCCATTGTGATGACTCATACCCAAACGTGGTAAACATGGCACACTAACACAGTAATACATTTGCTATAACACAGCCAAAAAAACTCAAATAAAACCATTCTAAAAGCCTGTATCACAAAAATTTAAAAAACGCCTAGGGGTATTTGCCCACTGTACCTCCATACCAAATTTCAGGACCTTAGGCCCTAAAATGAAGAAGCTGAATCCATTTAAAAAATGGCAGGAGAAGAAGAAGAAGGAGGAGAAGAAGAAGAAACACCAGAAAAAGCAATATGGTTTCACCACACCACTTCGTGGTGTGGTGAACCCATAATTAGAACTAACTGCACGACAGTTTCGCCTACCAATACAACCTCCTTGGCCTACCATGTAGGAAGTTCTGAGTACATGTAGTTCACAGGGAATTAATACCAAAAAACTGTAAACAACCTATGTAAATTCTATCCCAGCCACAATATAATGGATTAATGAATGAATAGAGGACCTCTATTGTACATTTTTACCTACCCAAGGTTGGCGACGTCATCCAAAAACCACTGCTGGAAAAACCCAGGTAGGGTGCCGTTGATAGCATCAGTCTGAAATGTTTAGGGATACATGTGGATGTGGCACATTGGATAGTGGTTGCATATTTTGTTAAAGGCAATTCCAATGAAATTTCAGGATGGACGGCAATACGAAAAAAATATTATGGAGGAGAACATCTGTCCGATATTGATATTTACTGAAATTTCTTGGCACATTTTTATGTGAAATGGCCCCGAAAAGTAGGCTACATAACGACGAGCTCCTTTATTTTTGTGGTATCGCCCATAAAGACCTTTTCCATCAGCGTATATCAGCATGCTATGGGATAAGGTTGATCTAACTTACTACGTAAAGAAAATTCACTTTGAAAACCCATCTTTACTTCCCTGAAAACGCTTTTCCCTCAAAATACATGTACGGCACGTAGTAATTACATACACAAAGAAAGTAGCAAGATGACAATGTTCAGTTAACTAACATTGCAACTTTTAGTTACATTATATCTACAAATAGATGAACCGTTACCAGAATGGTACACTGGTATACCGTTCCTAGTATAAAGTGGGCCTTTCCCAGTACATTCCCAAGGAGATAAGTAATGGACTATTGTGTGGACTTAGCGACCATCACCTGGTCTGAGCACAAAGGCAGTACTCGGGGCATCAACCAAAGTTTTATTTATTTATTTTTATTTAATTTTTTCTATGTATTGGTATTTTTTATCACAACAGCATAACTCGCAGCCGTCACGTACAAGGCTGAATTCCGATGCTTGTTTACAACATAAATCATCAATTGTAGGGTCATTAATACAGATTATAATTACGTCTTAATCGACAGATTAAACACTTTGGTTTAATGAGTTGAAATATTTACAATAATACCTTGTATCACTCAAGGTTATTACCATAGAAGTATAGTCATCATAAATATATAAACCATCATAAATCCATTGGTTACATGATTGCTTGACAGAGCTGTCTTTTTGCTTCTGGTGAATTATACTGGATAACTAGTATCAACGTTAAGTTGACGGATGTACAGACAATGGTGTACAGAAAATGCGGAAACAAGAGCAAACGAGCGAAAACGAGCTAAAACAAGCTATGAAACTCACCACTTGTTTCTCCAGGTACTCCCACATTCTGTCCATCATCCCCTGGGCTCGTTCCTTCACCAGCTGTCCGTGAGCCTGGCCCATCTCTGCAGGGGTGCCTGGGGAGGGGAGGGGGGCGTTGCAAGTCTTCAAACAGATTCACAACATTGTCTTGTTACAAGTGCCAGATTAGCACTTTACGGAATCCTATGTGCAATCACAACTTTAATGGTCTGCTCTGCTCCTGTCACCATGTACTAGTAGTACATGTACGTGAATGTGTTTGAAAGAAACTGAATCTTTTCGCGCATGCTTTAAGGTGTGCTTAAAAATATGTGTTATGTGCAGTGAAGCTTGAAATGGTTTTAGTAGTTGTTTACGTGGTGAAGTCTGTCTTTGTGGGCCACCGTAAGAGCATATTAATTTGATTTGATTATACGGATGACATCCTCTGGGAACCCCAAACTGATGCGAGCGTGCGAATGAAAAAAAAGGTTGAAAATTGGCAAAAACGTTTCCTATTGTGAAATCTGACAGATTGAATGAAACAGACAACGTCGTCATGATCATGAAGGTTGAACAAATGAGTATGGTATGGCGAATAATACTGTGGGAGGGCAACTAGCAAAGGTGCTTTGCACCTGTTTTGCCCTCCCTTTCACTTTGTGAAAAATTTAAATAAACAAATAAACAAATAAACTAGACTAAGTATACTCTTCCTTTTCATTTCTTCAGATTTTCTTCTTTGCTTTTGGAATTGATTTTGGCACTAATTACTGCATAAGTATCATTTTCGACTCTTATTTTTAATTCACCACAAATATTTCATCATTTTGTAGCTGCTTTGTATGATTTACAGTATGGTCCAATTTTTTTTTTTGTGAGGGGGGGGGGACGGGCGACAATTCATGCCCACGCGGTCTTGTCATCCATATAATTAAATCGACATGTCCTAACCTAGGCTCTATTTCTGCATCTTACCCCACAGATGTACGACCTGTATGGTGTCGTCGCCCTCCCCCACCGTGTACAGCTTGCCGTTCTGCACACTGCGCACAAACCTGGGAGAGTTCTGCTGGATGGGGTTGTTATTCCCTGATGTACGGGGCTCGGGCTGTTCAACAGACAGGGGAGAAACTTATGAGAAAAAGTTTTTAATCAATCAATCAATCAATCAAATGGTTTATTTGTGAAAACAAACAAGAACTTGTAGCCGTTGGCTAAATTGTGTCTTGCTGTACAATTTGATTTCTTAACATTCTTGCATAACAAATTAAAATTGATAAGTTATTCGATAAAATCCATATCATTACACATAAATTACCTCGAAAAAACAGTTTAAAGTTCAACATTAAAACAATCTATTACAGACTAATATGAAATACTAACATTTACAGTATTATACAAGGTAATAATAAGACTGGAGGAAAGACTAAACATCCTAGTTGACCACCATAACATGTATAGTTATGTTATGAATAGTTATGAAAAGTTGTATGGGCAAATTACAGGTCATCACTCGAATAAATGTTACATTTTCCGCGGCACTCACAAACAACTCGTGTGCTATCAATGTCACCTGTAGTAGCTAATAGGTATCACAAAGTGGGCCGTTGTGCTAAGGAAATACCTGTTTTGGTAGAAGTCATTATGAAACAAATTTGAATTGCAATATCCAACACAAGAAATTGTACTTACCCACACGTGACTCGGTGAGCAGTAGTGTATCATAGGTTGCAGAAAGTCTGTGGCGCCCCCCGTCTCTGTAGACTGACTGCAACGTATGATCCACTGCACACCGAGTCACGTGTGTTATCTGCGTGACGTCACGGAAGCGGTGGATTGCTCATTCCTTGACAATTACGGAAATCACTTCCGGACGTCACTAAAATGAACTGACTGAACGAGTTACATGTGAACTTACACATGTGAATGAACTGGAAAAACAGTTAAACATGACAAAGATTCTTAAGTGTCTTTTTTTCCATTGATCATACACACAAACAAATGCAGAACGTAGTCAAGTTGGGAGCTTATTTTGACACCACCACTGAATAACTGCATTTTAAAAAATAAATAAACATACACATCAAAATGTGTACAAAGGTAATCAAAAGCGCAAGTCCGGTTTCCTACGTAGTGATTGAATGATAGCAAAGGACACCAATACAAACATCAAAAGAAAAACGTCATTGTAATGTGGATTTCACTTCAAACGTCCGGAAGTAATCTCCGTGATTTATCCAGTGGTAGAGTTTGCCTTTTCCTTCTACATCTTTCCGTCCATATATTCTTCTGTCTACATTAAAATTCTGGAAGTACTAGACATTCCATGAGAATATATGCCCACGGTAGGAGTTGGTTCTATATTGTACCTATGGGCCTTCGTGGTACAGGTTTTCCACTCGCCCGGTACTGTTGCCTACTAATTAATGGACGGCAAGAAAAATGTTTGAACAAGTGTATTATGTTGAATGTAACCAGGGCTTTAGGTGTACCAGGATTATTATCGATTTTAGTACATGTAACAGTAAAATCGTTCTAAGATGTAATGTCATTTTAGCATTACGTTCCTGTTTGAGACTCCAATGAACGATAAATACCAATTTCTCACCAGATTAGATACTCGTAGCACTAGCTGGATCTCTAGACGAGTAAATAGACACAACGACACAGCAAGAACTGCAGGTTATAAGTGTGTGGCGCAACGGCAGCATCCGCGACTCGGAACCAAGAGGTCCCGGGGTCGAGTCCTGACATGCCACCGATCTTGTGCCCTCGGGAAAGGCACTTTACACGAATTTCCCCACTAGACTCAAGTGAAAATAAGTATTGTCTGTTCTGTATTCGTTTCTATGTGCGGGACACAATACCAGCAACATCTGCCTCTGTTCCGCGTATATTGCATTGTTGCAATTTCAATAGGGCCACACCAAGTAAATTTTATGGATGACGTCCTTTGGAGACCCTAAATCTAATGCGAGAGGGCGAAAAAAAAACAAGAAGGGCCCTAAAAAACAAGAGGCCTAGATCAGAAAAATACTAAGAGACGACAAATGTTAGGACACAAATTGAATGAGGTGACACAGTGTAACAAGCAAGAAGTCTTTTATTTATCATCAAAACAGCAATAAATCAGGTGGAATAGCAGTTGTCATCCTGTCCTGTTTTCGCGTTATGGGTTTCATGTCAATCTGACGATTTGCGGCACTGTTGTGACTCTTTGGTCATAGTTACAGGAAGCGGAATTTCTTGTTTTTTTTTCTAGGAACAGGTCAAAATCAATGCGCGCGCGGACGTCATCCATAAAATTTACTTGGTTTTGGCCTAGAATAAAAAAAAAAAGATTAATAAGAATAGATAATGTATCGCTACACTGATATTAGTTTTCTGGGGACCACTGTAGTCTCCAAGCAGATCTTTTGGTGGCTACAAGACAGTATCAAATTGGTCGGGCAGTATCTGATACATCACCCGACGTGGCTGGCGAAAAAAGAATATACCAGTACAAAATAGCCCCATAAAAACGCCCAAAACACGTCGAAAATAAGCCGAAGCCAAACCTCTGCTTGGAGAGTACCCGACCTGTTGAAGTATTGGACTTTGTACCTGTACACGTGTCAGTCACGAGTTACAATATAGAGGGTCGGGGTTTTTTCTACAAGGCCACTTTTTATTAAATTAAAATCAACCGAATTTGAAAATTTTCAGATAAACAAAGAACTTTGCCGTTTATAATACAGTGAATAAGTAGTGGCCCTCCTTGATTCTTTATTCAAAACAGTGGTCATCAGTACATAAAAATTATGGATCGCTGAATTGTGCTGACCTTACAAATACATAAAAATACAACGTAGTAACAAACAGAACATACAGATTCACAATTACAATATGTACCACACATAAAAACTAAGTCTGCATTTGACTGTTATCGACTCATTAAGTCCAATTGGATAATTTCTGAAGATCAAGGTCATTTTGGCTAAAATGTAGATGTTTTCGTTAACTTAAAGAGGAGTTAAAGGTTATAGCAAGTATCCACAAACACACGGCAAAAGTAATTTTTATGATCTACGAAAGACTTCTAACAACACCCGCAGTGAACTTTGTCCAATGGTTGTTGACCGGTTCCACCCAAATATCGTGGCCCGTTGTAGTTTGTCCTAAACAGGGGATATCAGGTGCCTAGAAAGGCCAAGATAGAAAGGCCACTAGGGGCCCAAAATATTATCGTAAATATATAAAACCAATCCTTGAAGGACCTTGATCGCTAACACACACACTAAGACACACGAACACAGACATACACTCTGAAAATATAACCTCCATTTTTCATGGTGGTTTATAACTAAAGTATGCAGGGCGTAACAAAACAGCTACTCAGATGCCCCTTACCTTGCCATGGCAATAGGCAGCTGTGCTAACCTCTACTAACAACAGGAGAAGCGTGGCTGAGAGAACTAGTCTGTCCATGGTGTCAGTAGTCAGGTATACATGCAGTACCGAATAAACGTCCTGTAATATCTGTTAGCTGTACACGGGTAGCCTATTACCGATCAAAGGACAAAGGTCGGACTTGTTTACATAACGCGTACGAACGGAGGGAGGCGGCTTGCGTAATTATATAAATTACGATAAAAACAATCTTGGGGACTAGAGTTTAATGTCATGCAGGCCACAGTAAATATATTTTATGGATGACATCCTCCACAGACTCCAAATCTAATGCAAATCCAAATCCAAATCAAGGCGGGCCGAAAAAAAACAAAGGTTCTACATCTTAGCCCATTTTTGCCCATTTTCGGCATGCTGGCCACTGTCAGAAGGCAACAAAATTTCTTGTTTTATTTTCTCCAAAATGAGATGAAAATTTGCGCGCGCTGATGTCATCCATAAAAATTACTTGCTGTGGCCTAATGTAGAAGAAACAAAACAGTACACGGACAATAAGTATCAATTTTCTCGGAGGGAAATTGTGACAATTTTTTTCAGCAACAAGTATAGATTCCTTATCTAATTCCTACTAGACTTTCGTAAGCAGTACGTGCACCTGTTTGACCTAAGTAGGACATAGTACCGTTACTAACATAAGGCCACACCTGCTTAATTTTATGGATGACATCCTGAAAACCCCCAAACCAGTACGCGCGGGCGAATAAAAAAATCCGGGCATGATGAAAATGCTCCTAAACCAAGTGAATACAATTCTAGTATTGTGAATTTTCGGCAGTACTTAGCGACGTTATACGACAAGCCGGCACATGCTGGCTTTTAGTGGAATTTACAAATCGGCACTTGAGTCGTGGAGCTTCGGTAGCCTAGGTGCCAAGCTCTGTATTGTCGCTAACTACCATGGACTACCCAACTTCAGAGCCAGGCCAGAGCCTCGTGGACGTGATCTTTTTTTTTTTAGGACAAGCGAAAATCAATGCGCGCGCGAATGTCATCCATTTAATTAAGTCGATGTGGCCTAACAAGTTTTATGACTAAATGTACAGGGACCGACAGGTACAACCTGTTCTAATACTGCTGACAGAAGTATATCTAGCAATCCTGACTATGCGTATTCAGGTCAGAAAATAATGAACATGAAGTCAGTATGTGTTACTTTCTGACCCTAACATACATGGTCCCTACTTTCTTACACTAATATGCTACTACTACTACTACTACTACTACTACTACTACTACTACTACTACTACTACTACTACTACTACTACTACTACTACTACTACTACTATTTGAGCTACGGGAACAACGGACATGTTAAAGGCATCCAAGCGATTTTCATAGCAACAAAACTGGAAATATTCTGAATAAGGCAATCTTTATGATATTGACACATACTGCCTCATATTAGCACGTTGCAATCAGTATTTCATACTTTGAGTATTTAAAACTGCAGAAACAGTCCCCAAGATGAGTCCTTTATTTTAGGGGACGTACCCCAACAATCAGGCAAGGGCCCTTCCAGTAACCTAACAAGTTTCCGATACTACACGTAGTTAGTTTGTAATACTGGATATCCAGACTTGCTTCCTACGTCATGGAAGAAAGATCTATTCCAAGAAACGACGTTCTATTCGAAGCGATGTCAAAATAGCACCCAACTGACACCACTTCGTCTTGTACATTTGTTAGACTGAATAAGCTAACGTCATCATGCCTCGGTGCTTCGTTCCTCGCCGACAATACTTGTCTAAAACTGGTTACGACCGGCACAGACTGGGCGAACATCTCACAGACAGCAGTCAAGCGACGGTCCCCGGAAACTGGACCGGAGTTCTCATCCACAACAAGCAGCCCACAGACCGGTCTAGCAGCGCCGCCTGTCTGTTCTGTTCGGGACTGTCAGCAGCACACAGATTCCCGAGTGAAATTCTACAGCATGATGAGTTCGTCAACTTCGCAAGCACGGACGATAAACCTGACATGGCCGGGGTTTTAGAAGAGGTGGATAAGGTAACTAATGTAGTTAAAGTGGAATCGAGGGGTTGGAAGCCGTATGGAAAAAGGACAAGACTAAAAGACGGCAGAAAAAAGACAAAGTCTCCGACAAACACCCCACCAAAAGGAGAAGGTCGGCAGGACAGGTCCCAGGAAACCGGCTTGGTTGGAGAGATTTTGCGGCACATGTTTCCATTCCTACCGTCTCACCATACTTTAGGAGGAAACGGGATGGAAACAGCATCAGAACAACCACCTGCCGGAGAACTTTCAATTTGATGGATCGGACATTTATGAGTGTTTGGTCTAGAACGTACTCCAGTTCAACTACTAACGTACTGATATACTACTGACTCATCTCAGCTAGCATGACGTGAAATCCATGCTCATACCTGTTCAGTATCTATGGATGTTTGAAGGTTGACAGGCTGTACCTCTGCAATGTCCATTCTCTACGCCAGGAGGCGTTGATAGTAACGCTGCGTTACGTCACATGATTGCGCCAAAAATTCAAAAATTTGTATGGAATATGTACACTGGTTTAAAAAACAAATCAGTAGTTGCGACGGAGTGCGATTCTCTCTCTCTCTCTCTATCCCTCTCCTTCGCTCTCTATCCATCCCTACCTCTTTCTTCTTTCTAGGACTGGAATACAGTCTCTGTTTAAATGATAGATCAAGAATGTAGGTAAGTGGTAACGTTATGTTGAGAGAGTATCAAACATGGAAACATCAGAGTATGAATTCGAAGCAAATTTTTATTCCTTTAAACACCAGTACACGGGGTGGTATACGTAGTTTCCTTTTAACTATAATCTCTGTGGCAATATGTCCTCGAAATATGACATAAGGCCACATCGATAAAATAAGTACAACATACTAACAAGCAAGAAATTTATATTACAGACTACTCACGGCGAATTCATGGTCCACTACTACTACTATTCCTTAAACACTAGTACATGGTGGTAGTTTCCTTTCAACTATAATCTCTGTCGCAATATGTTCTCAAAATATGAGGCCACATCGATCAAATGAGTACAACTTATTAACTCACAAGACATATTGATATTACAGACTACTCATATAGAAACTTCATGGTACACTTAGTCTACTACTAAGTTACAGTGGATACAATGTATATCAAATATCATATGGCCCAGTTTTAACATGGAAATTAAATGCATGAGTAGTAACATTAGCAACGAGGAAAGCAGAAAAAATGTTCGTTTTAATTTTGCAGATCTTTCCTCTCACTGAGCCGTCACGTTTTACAAGATGTGCCCATCATTCGATGAGTCACTGTCTTCGCTGTCGTCTTCTGACCAGTCAATATCTTCATCTGTAAAGTCGTCACCGAGTAACTCAGCCATCATTTCCCGGGCAAGCATCATGCCTTCAATAGGATGCATCGGCACGACGTAATCGGGATAGAGCCCGGTCTCGTCCGGTCCCTTACACGGGCACTGGAAACACGACATGCCTTCAAAGTAGCACGTGTGGCAGTCGTCACAGTGCCTGTCCCCGTCGTCCACACAGTCGCGACACTTCTCACAGTGCTTCATGCCCCGACACGTCGACTGGAAGAAATCATTCCGACACCAGGAGTATCTGAACTCAGTACGACAACCTGGCGCGGGGCATTCGGCATACCCAGGGATCATGTCCTTCAGCTGGACCTCTACTTCACAGCAGTAGTCAAGCTCAAGAGTCTCCTCCAGGCGTCCGCGTAGGTCTTCTATCTTGAAGATGTTGTCCATGAGACACTTGTCCCTGGCTGCTGCGGCACAGTCGATGCCGTACTCCTGGAGGATGTTGAAGGGGTTTTTACAGCCGGTACACTTGCAGGAGTCCCCACAGGCCGAGCCTTTTTTAACACAGCCGCACCTTTTTGACCCGCAGTCGCCTGTACAGCCGCACTTGGAGACCGTGGGAGGACTGGGCTTCTTGTTCTCGGGTTCTGGAAGCGCTGAAACGGCTTTCTCTCCCTCTGTACACACATACAGCTGCACGTTTGGATCAATGGATGCCATTTTGATGCCAGGTACGTCTGATGAGTGTTGGTGCTGCTGATGTTCTCGCTGTGATTTCGCTTTATATGGGGAAAAGAATGCAAATTAGTGGATTGTTTGGTGGAAGTGGGGAACGTGGGAGAAAGCTTGGCAGTATATCACTGAAGACTCGGTGCTTATCAGTCGGCTTGTCTGACAACATCTGTAAGGCATTGTTTACCGGTCCCTATGTTATCTGTCGGCTTGTTTGACTACACCTGTTGCTAGATATTGAGGACTTTATTACTCCCTTCGCCAAGAAGGTTATGTTTTCAGAGGCGTTCGCGCGCGCGCGCGCGTGTGTACATGTATGTGTGTGTTTGAGAAGGCTTAATGCATTGTCTTGATATTTGGTAGGTCTTGGTGAGGCCTCGAAATGATTAGATTTCGGGCACCCTGGCGGCTTGTTATGGTACTGCAGTGGAACGTCCGATTTCGATATCTCACATATCATGCTAGGGTCACGAAATTTGTTTGGTAGGTAGCTCTTGTACTGGGGAAGACGTGACGTGAGCTTGCTCTGGAACTCTAGGGGCGTTTGTTGAAAAATATTCAGGAGATCATGGGATAACTAAATGACGGGTTGATGGATCGTCATTATTTTGGTATGTAGGTAGCGTGATGCTTGACACAAATCAGAATGTAATTCGCATGGTTATTAAGGAAACTCTATAATCATCCGCAGTCCATGACTAGGACTATTCTAGCTCGTTGCACACGTAATTGAGAACGAAACATAGGCAGATATTATGTACATGAGGATTTAGTTTGCATAATTAATGAGAAAATGTTATATTTCCATCCTGGTAGCTGCCTAGAATTTTACACTTCGGCTACTTGAAAGTTAAGTGAAGGTGAACATCATTGAACACAACTTACTAGTATTCAAATGAGGAAATGCTTGAATGTCCTTTTTTGGACTGTCATTGGGTGGAGAATGTGATAAGCTGATATTATTCATGCAAATGAGCATAATAAACATCATTTGGCGAAGGTATGAGATCGTAGAACTCTAGTTGTCATATGTCTATACTCATTTGTCTATAAAACAGGAAGACACATGATAGGTACAGAATACAACGAAGTGTACGCATAATCTTCTGACAAGAACATTATTTATGCCCCTCGGGGTACTGGGACAGAGATCATCTCTCTACAGTTGCAATCCTGGTGACGAGAGCGTGTGTAGGGTGGGAGGGGGGCGACTGTAATGACCTTCAATAAATGTCGCGGCACGACCAACAAAAAACTGCCAGGTATTCAGATAAACACTATCCATTGACAAATGTTGTAAAATACATATATTTACGAACACATTCAGTTCATATCAGAGAGGTTATGTAGGAAAATTGGCAAATCCTTTACTCCAAATTTTCAGAGAAAAGGTCGGCGCCGAATTTTCCATTTTATCTGGTTACTGAAGGTTGGACGCCAAGCCAACGTGCCACCGCCTCCCAGGCGGCAGGGCGAACCCTTACTCCCGGCGTGCGAGCGTGGAGACCCGCGGCCAGGGTGCCTGGATGGGAGGGGCGGCTCAGGGCTCAGTGTCCCCCGGCTAGCGTGTCCTCCTGCACTTACGGCCTTGGCTCTCTCGCCTGACCCCGAAAATCCGCTCTTTTGTGCAAATGAGCCCGTCCCCCACTTACTGAGAGCTGGAAGTATGAGAACAGCAAGATAGGATGGAAGACGGGAAGCAAGACAGACGTCTTGAGTGTAAATAGGGTTAGAATGTGCCGTGGTCAGGACGAAAGAGACCGACAAACTGCGCGCCCTCAGTATTTATACCCAAGGAACGTGACCAATCGCGAAGGAGCACCCCTACACCAAGCCAATCACGATAAAGAGCTCCTGACCCAGCCAATCACGATCCTTGAATTTGGACGACTCAACTAATATCACGGAGGTAGTACGGGGAATTCCTAGTACTTTGTCTTCCTATGAAACAATAAATGTTCAGAGCAAAATGATATTTTGTTTACAGTATTCTTTTCGTATCCAATGTACATGACATGCAGTGTGGTGCTGTAAGTGTTTTGTTGTTTCTTTCTAACATCTTGATCTACTCTCCCCTATAAAGTTGAATGGAGTTGACCATTACCGGACGCCTGGATTTTGCTGCAAAAGTGGCATGAATCGCTAGAGGCCCCCACTGAGTAGCTCTTTGTCAAAGATTGGTTGTCACAAAGGCGGCCCCCACCAAAGTCATTGGAAGGCAGAATAAATAGCTGACCTCCTAGCCCAACTGTTGTCACGTTTTCGAGACTCAATGTGGTTTTGTGCTGCAGAAAGTTGTCCTTCTGTACCTGACAATTATGGTATTTAGTCTATTATTCTTCACCTTACCTCATCTGTACTAAAAGTAATCATAGTACGATGCTGAACTACAAATTACATAAGGCCACATCAATTTAATTTGTTGGTCCTCAGATCTACCTCTTCATTTTTTTCTGATTTGCAAAAAAAAAAAAAATCTGGTTCTGAATTGCTCATGTGCTCAAAAATGCTCATATTTTACCCCCAACGGTTGAGGAAAGTCCCTTTCTTCCTAGTTGTTACAGTTTTTCCATCTACCAATGCAGTGGTTTGATTAGAAGTTCAAAACTCATTGTTTAAACATTAACCCAACCGTTTGTATTGACTTCATGGCTCCTATCGTAGCAGTTGGGGCTATAATAGGATGCCTAGACCTGTTTTTATTTTCATTTTTTTGCCCTATCGCTTCATATTTTTTCTGTAAAAATCCGAGAACCAACATATTAAATTAGTGTGGCCAAAGGGTACATAATCGGATCAAATTTTAAACTGACCACTGACGCCTTTGTCAGAATAAGAAATTACCAATCACATACAAATATAAATCCACAAGAATTACAGACATGTAACACATTATCTGTAAAATCTTGTGAAACTCTCACAGGTTTACATTCAGAAGTGATTGAATGGTCTTTACTTATCCTGATGAAGGCGACAGTGGTCATGAAAATTTGATTCTTATATAACGTACTCTTGTTACATCAAATTACCTAGAGAAATACAGAAATGCCATTTCACTGGCATTACATTATTACTTATTAAATGTAAGTACTTTATGTACTTCTGAGTTGCATTTGCACTTTTGACAATTTGAGTTGACTTTGTGCACTTTTGACTCTTATGTACTGATTATGTACAACTTTTTATTTAGTTCTTTAATTTCATTTGATGTTTCCAGTCTGACCTTTTGACTCGGATTATGATTGATGTTTCTATGATTTCTGTACCTATGTTTATGTTAATGTTTATGTTCTGGTGTCTTATAACCCTATATGGCCTGGGCGACAAAAGTCGCAAGACACGTTAATAAAAATTCATTCTCTCATTCGAATTCATTCATTGTAAGTATGTATACCACATTCACCACACAAAACTACAGGTAATACAGTATGTATTTTTTATTGACCTGTTGGCACTAAGATTGTCACCCAGTCTATAGAGCAAACATCAAGAAAAAAATGTAAAACTACAGCAGTAAGACCACACCAATTTAATTTCTTGGTTAACGGATTTTTCTAGAAAAATAATGGAGCGGGCGGGCGAAAAAAAATAAAAACAGGCCTAGGCATCCTATTATGGACCAAAATGGTACGATAGGAGCCATGAAGTCAACACACCAGGCTGGTTCAAAATTTAAACAATGAATTTTGAACTTTTAATGATACCATTGCATTGAAAGATGGAATAACTGTAGCAACTAGGATGAAAAGGTCTGTTTTCAACTGTTCAGGGCAAAATATGAGCATTTTGCAGTTGATTCTGGATTTTTATTTTCATTTGCAAATCAGAAAAAAATGAAGCGGCGAATCCGTTAACCAAGAAATTAAATTGGTGTGGCCTAAAGGAAAAAACCCTACACCACTTGATACCAAAAAGAAATCCATCTTGTTCTTTTTACTCTCTAATTAATAATCCCTTTATCATATTAGATATCATTCTCTATTTCAGTTTTACTCTACAAAACATCCAACATCCCTTGAATCATCAGTTTTCCTATATTCGAATACTATAAATCAAGTTCAAAAGATGAAAAAAAGTTCCTTGCATGGCAGGTTACAGACAGTCTTTGGTCAAAAATTGCATTAAATATGCATTTGTCAATTGTAAAACAAATTTTAAGTACTCATGTACATGCAATTATCACGGCAATCAACAGGGGGCCTCAGGAACACAAGTAGTCATTCTTGTACATGCCTACAACTAAAATTCTATGGGAGCACAAACTACATTCACCTTATAATATATTACAGCTATTCAATTAACTAACAGAATTAGTGTACTTACCAAGTCATTCCTATTTATACATATATTATAAATTTTTTTTCTTGACAAGATCATTTACTAGTACTTTCTTAACTACACCAACCAGCCACCATTATATAATTACATATCCCTCTTGCTTGTAACATTATGATAAAAGAGATATATGAATTAGAACTTGCAGTAGAAACGTAACACTTGCAAAGAAAATGTATAATGTTTACCTTCACATGGTCTAGCCTAACAAAATACTGCTCTGTTTATTCCTACACTGTACTTAAACACATTCATTTACATGGATATGGTGACCAGTGCCTCCAACTCTATCCTGCAACTTGCTACATAATGTAACCCAACACCAAAGGGTGTCTGCTACAGCGACAGTATACCATGGTTACAGATGTCTGGTTCAGGTCATTGACCTTATGTGTTTGGAGTAGAAGAAAAACATGTAGCGCAAAAAGAATGTAAAAATAATTATTAAATTCTTTACATAATCTCATGTAAAAGTAGAGCCAGGAGGAGCATAGACAGACTCTTCACCCCATACTTTCCGTTTGGCTGTGGCTGTTTTGCAGGCTTCTATACAACGTTGTTCTCCAAAACCATCTCCAAGAACTAGAAGGAGGGAGAATATTCATCAGTCAGTTCCTTAGTCAAGTGAAACAGTACAATGATGACAGTACACTTGGTGCTACACACAAGCCAATCCCCAGCTAAATGCACCAAAATTTGCCAAACTACACAGAACTCAAGAGTCAGTACTGACAACTCAAACATGCCACAAAAGGCCAGCATGTGCCGGCTTGTCATAAAAGTCGTTATGTACTATCGCAGTCACAATACTATTACTAACTCTGTATACTATTACTAACTCTGTATTCCTGTGGTTTAGCAGAATTTTTGGGAGGCTGGAATCTTTTTTTTATTTGCCCGCGTGTCTACTTTAGGGGTCTTCAGAGGATGTCATCCATAAAATTATAACTTAGTCAGTGTGGCCTACTGCTGTGTACCTAAACCCACATTCGGGTCCAGGTCCAGATTCAAGTCCAGAGGTTAGGTTTAGGTAACTTGTGAGTCCAAAACTAAACACAGGGCATATACAAAATACAGATAGGACTTCTCAGTTAACATTTCCCAATGGAAAACGGGGCATAATTTACGGAGGCAGACACTTGACGATGCTCAATGGCAATGTTTTCTTAATTTTGGAGCACAAATTTTTAACTAATGAAGATTTCAGGTGGTTCAGAACAAAAAGGGGAATTTGACATGATTTTTTGTAAGTCCAGAACTTGTTCCAGGCATTCATGTTTTTTAGACTTGAATCAAAACATTTTAGATCAAGTCCATAACTAGTTCCAGCGTATTCCTGAATAGTTTTATTAGGTTGGTAAGACACTGAGTAAAGAGACTCTTTTTATTCAGCCAACCATATTGTAGATACATTTCCCTGTAATCCAATCACACAACTAGATATCTAAATATTGCACGTTTGGGAATGCATCTATAACAGTGACACTTGTGCTGCAGTGCAATGTGAACCAGTCAGACTTGCCCTGAGGAAGGTGACAGACGGTCACCGAAACGTCGGCTGAATGAAAGACTTGGTTGTGTAAAAAGAGTCTCTTTATACTGTCTTATAGTTCCAGCGTACTGGTACACAGCACTAGTGTGGTCTAACACTTTAATTTCTTGGTTAACGGATTCTGCCACTTCATTTTTTTCTGATTTGTAAAAAAAAAAAATTCAGAATCAACTGCAAAATGCTCATATTTTTCCCTGAACAGTTGAAAACAATCCTTTTCTTCCTAGTTGTTACAGTTATTCCATCTTTCAATGCAGTGGTATCATTAAAAGTTCAAAATTCATTGTTTAGATTTTGAACCAGCCTGGTGTGTTGACTTCATGGCTCCTATCGTACCATTTGGGGCCATAATAGGATGCCTAGGCCTGTTTTTATTTTTTATTTTTTCGCCCGCCCGCTCCATTCTTTTTCTAGAAAAATCCGTTAACCAAGAAATCAAATTGGTATGACTTATCTATTTCCTGACCTCCTCATAGTTGATCCTGATCACCCCTCTCCTGTGCACATCCTTCTGTTGGAACTTGTCTGTCAGTGCCTTCAGCATCACACACACCTGGATGAAGTCATCAAAGTTGATGGTTCGGTTGCTCGACCTGTCAAACTTTGTAACAATCATCCCACAGAAACTTGCTGAACTGCAAGGAAGGATAGTTCATTATATACAATCAATCAATCAATCAATCAATCAATCAATCAACTTTATTGCTCAACAACTGTAGCTGGTACAATGTATGGCAAAGAAACAACAATGGTACATACACAAACTAATACTAAAATATGATTCTAACGAGCTAATCTATTGTGTTTTCTTAGGAAGAGTAATTTATTACATTCTGTAATTCAGGGGATATATCAGCTACTTATTTACAATATTGTGTCGCTTTTGTAGTGATTCAAATATGAATTTTCCAACGTACACTGATAACTGAGTAGGATATGAAAGGAGTATATTAAAGATATCTGATTTTGAGTGAGGTGGCGTAACATTAGTTTTGGAAGCTATGGATTGTATCAACTTTTGTCTGTTTTCTTCATATGTTGGATATGACATCATGAAGTGGAATTCGTCTTTAATATCCTCCTTGCATGTAGTGTGTTTCTACACAACATGTAAAAATATCTCAGCAGAGACAGCTATTAGGGCTCTCAAATAAAGATTCCCTACATTTTCAGTATTTATGTTACCATAATCATAACCTACCCAAGAATGCACACCTTTACTAAAGTTTGTTGTCTCTAAACAAAAATTGTAACAACAATTCCAACATTCAAATCCAGTATTAAAATTTTTGAAAGCGTTGGAATTATTCTATTACAACTCCATGTGATACGGTTTATTATCACACTGGCCAGAACACCTGTACGGAAGACACCAGAAGAACAACTGCCAATCATTGATAAAGCACACAACTGGTGTGTATACTTCAGCCATAGATAGAGCTAAGTACCTAAAAAAAATTTTAGGTACAGGCACAGGGTTTAGGTTCATGTCCGGACCTGAAACTGTACCTCAACAATTCAACAAATTAACATGTTCTTCTGAACTCCTTCTATGACAGAAACATGAATAAACTTGACAGTTAAGTGTTAATTTTTTAAGTTTATGGAGAATTCTTATACAAAAGATGTTTCAGTTATGTACAATATTTGATGTTAATGTTGTTCATTACTGCAATTTGTTTTGTATTTAATAAGAGTATAGAACCAGTACACACATACCGGTACACGTCTCTAGCTATAGACCATTGAAATTCAAAGCAATGATTCCACCAATAGCAGCATCAGCCTACAGTACTGGAATGGAAAGTGAGTAAAAATGCTACAAGATTCCAGAAGTTTAAGTAATGATAACTTACAGTGAGTATCCAAAAGTCCTGAAGGCATTGTTTAGTTCCTGAGCATCGATGTTACCCGAACGGTCTGTATCAAACCTGAAGAAAACAATCAACATTCAATTTTTCTCATGAATAAACTATTATTAGTAAGTAAAGAGCTAACTAGGTGCTGTTTTTGGCTGGTTAGATGGTGTTCATATAAGAGATCTAACATCCGTGTCCATAATATCACCAGGGTCCATAATATCGCCACCTTGAGAAAAAGTGTGCTTAAAGATATTTTTACTGCAACATACCCTAGGTATGTACATTTGATGTGTGAAGGAGTGCATACCAAAAGTATGTTGCAGTAAAAATATCTTAAAGCACACTATTTCTCAAGGTGGCGATATTATGGACCCTGGTGATATTATGGACATGGATGTTACATGGAGATTATTGTCTTAGTGGTAAAAATCTGTGTCATTGCTGCACTATTTAGCATAAGTCATTCACAAAATGTAATTCAGCTTCAATATTTCCATGACATGTGTACAATACTAGTAGCTGAAGGCACCAGAGCAATTTCACAGATTTAAATTGAATTTTTCTGGTATTTCCAAAGCATTAAGACATATGAAATTATGAAAATGTGCCAAGAAATGGTAGTAATGTTAATCAGACAGATTATCTCATTCAGAATTTTTGTTTTGTTTTGCAGCTTTAGTTAGTAACTTGTGCAAATACAAGTGCACACAAAACAAGTCACAAAAAAGTCATGTATAAATATATACTATTAAAGTATTATAGCATACCTGTCAAAGCAGCCTTTCCAGTCATTGATGTACTTCCACAGAGCAGCAAACTCCTGGATATTGATGGTTCCATCCCTGAAATCAATACAACCATCTGAGACATGAAGCTTTTTCTATGCCTAGGACACAGTGTTTCCCGTTACCCCTCTCACCCTACCAAAATCCCCCCAACCCTAGCCTTTCTTTGGGTCGGCCATCCATATATTATTTCACATAAAAGAGACATTAAATTTTTGATCTGACATAGACACCAGGACACTGAGGACCGAATCAAAACATGTCCTCTAAACTGGTAAAATGAGAAAAAAAACTTGACCAAAACAAGAAAGTTTAGACCCTACCGGTATCTGTTCTTTCAAACCCAAAAGCATCAAAATTAGACACTTGTAACTTTTCAAGATTTTTAGCAACATTTACTAGAATCGTGCTCCCATTTTGGGTGTTTCACTGAACAATGCAGTGGTGACGTCTGCCCTAAAGGAGAGTAACTGTTGTTTTATTTTATTCCAACATTTATCACAAGACAAAAGTAATGGCACACTCAATTTTTTTCAAATTTGAGCAAATGCAGACAAACGCATGAATGGACAAGAGACATGCTCGTTTACATCTGAGTAAAGTGAGGAAATTTGTATAAAGTGGCATACATTAAAGGCTAGGGTTGGGGGGATTTTGCTAGTGTTACAATCCAGGTTGTTTACATTAGCACTTGGTTTCAATCCGAACACTCTGCCGTTACGCCACACGACTCACTTGTTCTGGTCGAACATGCCGATGAGCAGCCTGCATGTCTCAGGGTTGAAGTGGGACCAGTTCCCGTTCACCAGGGCCTGCCGCAGCTCTGTCGCGTTGATGGAGCCGGACCGGTCTTGGTCAACCGTCTGTCAGAACCAAAAGTTCAACTGTTAGTTTGTTTGAGCCTTTGTTCATTAGTTAACCTTTTTTAAGTCTGTTAACTGGTACAATAGCTCAATCAGGAAGAGTGCTCGCTTTGTAACTGGGACTGTGTGGGAGGTCATGAGTTCAAACCCCGACTGGGTCATACCAAAGACTTTCAAAATGGTACAGACTGTTTTTTATGGCTTCACCACAAGGTGGTGAAGACATATTGTGTTCCCTCATGTTTCTTCTTCTCCTTCTCCTCCTTCTCCTCCTGCCATTTCTTTAAATGGATTCATCTCTGCCATTTTCCGGCCAAATAACACGAAATTTGGCATGAAGGTAGAGTGGGCAAATACCCCGACGCGTTTTTTCATATTTTTTGAAAAATTGTTTTATTTGGGTTTTTTGGCCATTTTCAGGCAAAAAATATACATTTTGAGATCTGGTTCCCAGGTACTAAAACCAAATGACCTGAAATTTGGTATGGGGATACCTTGGACATATGTCTACAAAAACTCATTCAAGCTTTTGACATACACCACTTTAAAATTGGGAAAAATAAGGCTTTTTGGCTATTTTCGGACCCAAAATGTACATTTTTGGCTCCTGTGCCCTAATATTAAATCTGAATGACCTGAAATTCGGTATGGGGATACCTTGGACACGTGTCCAAAGAATGCCATTCACGCTTTTGACATATACCACTTTAAAATTGTGTAAAATAGGGCTTTTTTTGCTATTTTTGGACCAAAAATGTACATTTTTGGCTCCTGTGCCCTAATATTAAATCTGAATGACCTGAAATTTGGTATGGGAATACCTTGGACACATGTCCAAAGAATGTCATTCACGATTTTGACATACACCACTTTAAAGTTATGTAAAATAGGGCTTTTTGGCTATTTCCGGCATTGGAAGGTTCCATTTCTGCATGGGGTTGTAGACTATTGGCAGCCATCGTAGGATAGATCCATTTTCGGTATGGGGGATAGGGTGAAGCCATCTGCTGCATTTGCTCTCAAGCAAATGTCGGCCTTTCTAGTTTCTGTTTAGTACTCAGCATCTAATGTAAAAGCATATACAAGAGTATGGGAAGGTCAAACACACAACACTACTAGCAGGCTGGCACCCAGCTGTAGTGCTTGTACAACTGTGTGGCCAAAGGGCTACAGAAATGGTGATGGGCATCACCACTATGCTCTGCAAGGAATGGAAAGGGACCTTCTTCTTCTTTGTGTATTTATGAAATACAGTCAAAGCTACCCAAGCGACCACCTCTATAAGCCAGCCAAATGGTCATAATCACTGCTTTGTCTCGTTCCCAATTTTTTCCCTATGCAATTTTTTTATGATAACTAGTTAGAAAACTTGATGGAATCAGCTATCGGTGTAGTTTGTCATTGATTTCAACAACATTACAGGCTTATATAAATATTACGTATATTAAATATAAAATGGCGCCAACTGGGTCACTTTCGGTCAATCTACTATTGTGTTTCAAAATGGGAGATACATTTTGCTACAGTTTTCTTGTTCTCTGTCCTATACTTTTGCCACACGTTCTGCATATGATGACCACATTTTCCAAGTGGTCCCCTCAGTGGTAAGCTTAAAGACAAAGATTGACTGTAAATTGTTGTCTTAAAGTGTTAAAACGAAAAAAAAATATGATATACACAACATGATTCCACCAAACACTGTCAATGTTGCACTCAGTCTTTACCTGAAACCACCCCCACAACGTTGGGTCCACTCCAGGGGGTGGCCCCTGGTAACCCTGGTGATAGCCCTGCTGGGGAGGGGGGGCACCGTAGCCTTGTTGTGCTCCATACCCCCCCTGCTGTGGAGGGGGGGCTCCGTAATGCTGCTGTTGAGGAGGGGGTGCCCCATACCTAGAAATAGAAACTTTATTACACAACAATAATAAAAATGTATTATGGCATGATGCAGAATACACCATGTTATATTCTAATTGTCATACTCAACCAAGAAAACACACTTTTCAATGCAAAATCAAAATGTGACAAAATTTGGTGTCCCAAAAAAAAATACAAAATGCACCACCATCATTGCCAATGTCCAAAATCCAGTGTTCATAATATTTGAAAGTGCTGCATGAGGCTCAGGTAAAATACATTTGAATTATTCCATGGAATCAGGATTTTATGATTGATAATATACGTAGTATGTACATGTACATATTATACATGTAGAAGATAACATGGGGTATACTGTATCACCCAAGGTACCAACCCGACTAGCACCAGAATGCGAAATGAGCGAAAATTTGCAGTCCCTAAACAAAAAAAATGCAACAAGATCAATTCTAACGTCCAAATTCTGTGTTCGAATTTTCAAAAGTGGAGCAAGCGGTTAGGACGAAACAGGTACCAATTGTTCTATGGGAGCCTGGGCCGTGCTTCACAGAACACGAAGGTTATCACGCCCCGGGTATGATATAAAACTAGTTATCACACAGGCCGGAACACAGTAATATATAATAATAATTAAGTATCTTGTACATGTAGTAGACATTGGCATACAACTAAGTGGTGATACCTCTGTTGCTGAGCTCCATACCCCGGCTGTTGTGGAGGGGGGGCTCCATAAGCCTGCTGCTGTGCAGGGGGGGTGCCGTAGCCCTGATGTTGGGGTGGGGGGGCTGACCCATACCCCTGCTGTGGTGGTGGGGCTCGAGGGCCTTATGGGTAAAAGTAACACACGTAAGATAAAAAAAAACATCTTTACTTCTATAGGAAGCTTGGTAGGTTATATACTTTATTAGAAGATATATATATTAAAAAATCTCTCAAAAGTACCAAATTAACGGGTTCCTTTCTCAGTGTGTCACTGCAACTTCCTCCTTTTGTTTGTAGAACAATAAAAGATTCATACATTGATTCATTCTTTCACCCATGGAAAATTTCAGTTCATATACAAAGAACAATGCGCCATGACCACTTCATTTCACTGGCATACAATGTGTAGAATTGGGATACTTTCTGTGAATAGCTTGCAATTCAAAAATGGTATAAAAAGGAGTAGACAATCTATTCTATTATAATTAATATACCTAATGATACATACGGCCTTCCATCTTCATGCAACAAAATTGCCTTAATTTCACATCAAGAGGTCTGTAAAGGTCTGTCTTTTTGAGTGGGACCCGTAGACCATGGGTGATATGGAATACACTGCATTCTAGAAATCTGCATGTGTTATTTCACTAATTTCAGCCACCTACTATAAGTAGAAATAGGTCAGGTCAGGGAGAATCTTTCATGAACATTGAACAGCTCCCCCTATCTCTTCCTGTCATGCATTGCAGGGTGCCTATCCAGGCTGTATCAGTGTATGGGGAACTATAGCATTGCCATGCTGTTTAATACTGTCTTAGGTAACCCTACCAGTTCTCTCTCTCCTTCTCCTGCACTGTTCTTCGAGGAACTTTTTAGCAGACCTTTGCAAGGACGTGTCAGCCTGTTTTGAGCTCTCTGTGTTTGGAAAAGTTATGTCTTGAAGAGTCTGTTTCGTACTTGTGTAGTACTGTACTTAACATTGAAAATCCAACTTGGAGAACTGCATTTTGTATTTGAGTCAACAGAATACACATGTGCCTTTCCAAAGGTGAATTTGTCTCTTTTATGCTTGAGTTGAAGATGGTTTTCTCACTGTTTTACACTTGCTTTTTTCATGCATAATCATCCTCCAGATTTCTAGCACTTTTCCATGCCATTTCTAGATACTGACTTACTAGTACATCAACTTTAGTTGATTTGTGGAATTTATAAAGCTATTTTCAATTTTTGCTGATCCAAATTCTTGGATACCTTCCAACACCCCAGACTGTCATTCCAATAACCCCTGCTAGGTGCGCTGTTGTATCCTCATCAGCCTAAAGCCTGCACAAAGAAGACCTACATGTAGCTTCCTAGCTAATGAAACCTACATTCCAGATTTTAACAAATTACACAGTACATGTTGCCAATGATGTGCAAAATGGCTGACACACCCCAGACACCACACACATTTAAAATACGTGAAATAGGAATATTATTATCTCACCTGGCTGACCATAAGGGTTTTGCTGTCCTGGGGGCTGACCATAGCCCTGTTGGTAAGATGGGGGTTGACCATAGCCCTGCTGCTGGGGAGGGGGTGCAGAATAACCACCACCTCCGCCCTAGGGAAGAACAAACAATCAGAGATGGCAGACTTCACCTCTTTACTAGCTCCCATAAGCCTAGTATTATGCTTTGGGACATTTCCTTACTAGTGCCCACGATGCTTTGGAACATCATTCTCCTTACTAGTACCCATAATGCTTTGGGACACCTTAGTAACCTTACTAATACCCATAAAGTTCTATCGACAAAGTGGTCAACTATTGTTTTGAATTATTTCTCTAGTATAAAGCGCATGCCATAATTGCATTTTTGTTGGAATTAGAGAAAATGATGTACTTTCCTTCATTCTACCTTCTACCGAAGACTCTCTTACTCGCATGGTCGCATTACGTATATTAGAACGATAGAAGGTTTGCACAAAATTAAAGGTAATTTTTTTCTGTTGACGGGTGACTCACATAACCTTTGATATTTGTGTACGTGCAAATATTTCTAGAAAATTCAAACAATTATAATTTTCTTCCGGCCCAGTGTGTGTGTGCGAATGAACGTGGTTTCTCATAATCTTTTAAAATTTTAGCACTAAGGCCTTATTCAAAACACACATGAACACAAATGTGAACACAAGTCGAACGGTACTGGTACACATACAAACATATGCATGTAGTAGACGCTACGTTATGCACAAACAACTTGGCTACAACAACAACAAAATCCTCTGTACTACATTTTCAAGCCATGAAACCCCGATACAAAAATCGTGGAGACTCTTACGTGGCTGGGGTTGTACGCTGGGGGCGGTCCGTAGGACATAATTTTACAAGTTACAAGTAAACAAGTTGGCAAGTTGCAAATCTTGGGGCTGAAATTCTGCAAATAAAACCTACAGGCCGGGTTAAAGGTTAACAACTACTGCAGGCAGACGCAAGAATACACTATTGATAATTCGGAGAGTGTACAACAATCTTTAAACACTATATGACATTGTGACGTATAACACAAATTAAATTAATAAACAAATGATCGATATGCATTATTAAAAGTGCAATTTTTACCAGAATAAGGTGCATATCGAATAATTTGCTGTTTATGTGAATTGTTGCGTTTCTGTGCTGTGACTAGAATCATGGGAAGGTTTTTGAAAAAGCCTATCATTGGACTATCTCAAATGATGGCTATGGTAGGGGGGAAAGAATTTCAATAATAAAGGAGAAAAATACCGGATCTAAGGAATACGGACCGGAAAAAATTATGACCAAATATTAACGAAACATATTGATATTGGATATAGATATTATATTACGGGAATCTTGATCAAAAAGTGGGTTTGGAAAAAGGTTATGTAACACCCCCTTCTGCGTTATTCATTGAGACGGCCCAATGGCGGTCGGGTTCGAACTTAGAAGGATTATAAGAGCGGCAAGTTTTGTTTTGATTTTGTCTCAAATCTCCAGATTTCTTTCAGCTGCGTGAAACGTTTAGCATTCATCGTGTACTTAACTACAAGGGTAAGCTGTTTAGTACCTCCACTTGTGTCTTAATTGTACATTTTTGGTAAAATTTGTTGTTTTGTATCACGTATGATCCAGCTACTAGAATCAGTTACAAGTTTATAACACCTTGTTGCTGTAAAGTTTGTTTGTTTTTCTGTCATAGTTTAACGTATGCTTGTTGCTTTTAATCCTTTACTACTACAATATGCTGTTTTTGTCTTGCCTACAAGCATAACGGATATATTCGTCGGTTTAAAACTATATGTGTCTTTTTATGTCGTATATTTTTGAAAAGAAAGAAATTATGTTTTCAAAGCTCGTTCGCTTGACATCTGGTGTACTTCCGGGGGGAGTAAGGGCACTTGAAAACCGTGCACGTAACACGCATGAACAATTTGTAATAAATTATGTACAGCTGCATCTACTTAAGGTATTTCCTGAATAATTCCACAAGTTCACCAAAATCAACAAAAGAAAATGTGACTTTGACAAATTCTCTGTTGGTTCGTAAGATTTCTGAACGTGGCCCCCACCCCATCTGCTTGGAGATTTGTCTTGAATACAGGGCTCAAATTTATTTTTGAGAATGGGTGCATCAGTGCATGCAGCGTAAAAGCTAAGGTACACAGAAAAGATTTTTTATGTACGCAACATAAGATACATGTAGTGGAATTTGTCCTCAAAACCTGATTATGAAATATGATTGATATGAACCTTTTTGCCCTAGAGTGCCTCCCTTCATAATCATTGATATTTGTAAGATGTGACATTCTGTACCTTAGCTTCAAAATTTTCAACAAAATACAACAAAGGTTTTGGCATTTTTTCAAACACTTAAATGTCAGGAACTACTAGTACTTAAAATTAATTTTTTTTGTGTGTACAATACCACTTTCAAATGCACTATTATGTAACTACAAATATTTACAATTTCTTTGCCTTTCAGTTCATAAAGACGATATGTTTTGAAAATAAATGGTCCTAGTAATAGTAGTACTATTAATGATTTTTAATCTCTGCTGTCCTCAGTGATGTTGCTTTTTTTTAAGAATGCAAGGCAGTTTTTGACCACCACCGGGACTGGTTTTGTCATGGCCCAGTTAAGTATAGGTTATAATTATTAATAATCAGGTGCAGGTAGACATGAGAAATATTACCTCCATAGCTCCAATTGTACTAGTACCTGCCTGCACTAACCTGGCTATGCAGATAGTATTTCGAGCACAGTGTAAATGTAAGTATTGTAACTACTGCAGTTCCAACTTCATAATAAGAGTGTGTACTCTGTGAGTTTTAATTGGGACGTGTGTGTTTTCCTTTGCCTACTTGTATTTGTACTCTTATTGTTCAGTTGTTTTTCATGGTTACTGGCCAGTAAAAAGTAAAAGTCAACACTCAACCGACTGTATACAAATGGAAAGGTTAGATGTATTGTTATATAGCAAGCCAGTGTTTTCTGTCCCTTTGTCACAAATGCATATGCTGTTGGGGCTTGAAATCTGTCAAACTCAAAGTTTCTTCATTAACTGCAATCAGGCAGGGCTTTGTACCTTGGCTTTAGTTCCAGTACTGTGCCACAAAAATTGATAAGGTATAGGTAAAAAACACATATTTATAATCACCAAGTACTTGAACTAAAGTGTATAATGTTATTTGTAAGCCTAATATAACAATTCTCCATAAACAAGAGATTATTACCCTTAACTGTCAAGTTTATTAATATTTTTGTCACTGTAATTCCTGATTTTTTCACAGTACTGTTATGTTCACTGTTTTCACTGTCACTTCAGAGTTCTGTACCGTGAACTTACCATTACAGGTCACAAATAATTCCCTGTACTTCTTTTTCCTGCACCTGTTGCTACCATGAATAAAAAAATATATAGTTTTGTGAACATGTCCATTTTTTTTCAAACCGTGAAATTTTGCTACCGTGAACATAAAGTGAATTACAGTATTGAGGAAGTTCGGAAGAATTATGAATGTAATTTGTCAAATTGTTCAGGTAGCTGTGTACCTGTTTACCTGTAATTGTACCTGCACTTAAAATGTGTTTATATGTACACAGCTGTAATGTTGTTTTGTTTTTTGTAGGTCAGTGACAAGAAAATCTAACTACACCATTACAGTCCAAGGGAAAGAGTCAGACACTTCCCTACAACTTTACAAGTACAACTGACAACCCTGGCAGAGTAACATCACATTCACCATGGACTCCATAACACTGGACTCCTCAGACTCCAGACTTGATGCAGAGTTTGACAGGTCTCTGGCAGATATGAAACCCTATGTACTCAAACTACCACATAAAACAGGTGGGGAAAATAGTTGGCCTGTTGGAATCTTATGATAAATTGTAAACCATTATTCCTGCTATGGCTGGCACCAAATTTCAGTAGTTTATGGAGTTAGGCAGCAGGAAAAATGTTAAATATTATTCACAATTGATAGTGAAGATTATAATACAAAATTGTTCATTTTACACATTTTTTTTTGTATTTTATCAACTAGAATTCCACGATGATGCAATTCTTTTACTTTTTGTTGTCCACTATAATTACTATAAAATACCAAGTTTATGAAAATTGAATTCACCTGTCGAAATTCTGTGGGTAAAATAATACCCTCATATGTATCCTTGAAACTGTGAATAACTTTATTTCCAGAGAGACAGAGATGTGCCTTATGGATTAAGAAACTATGTGAACCAGTTGCACCTGGACCTACTGCAAGGTAACGAACAAAAAAGATTCTACTAGATAAGGAAATCTGTCTTTGTGTGTTTGTTTGCTTGTGTGTCTGTAGATATTTGATCATAGTAGTCACAAGACATGAAAGGGGAAATGTTGTAACCACAGGCTGACAAGAACTTGAAGAAGGTAAAAAAACAAATACATATATACATTTTGTAACCCAACACCACAGCATGCCTGCTACACCAGTTACCATGGAGACAGACGTCTGGTCTAGGTCATTGACAGGTTATGTGTTTCGAGAAAAAGGAGATGAAATAGAGCAAATGCAACATATTTCTATTCTGTGAAGGTAACATATTAATATTTAATATTATTAATTAAATACTTCATTGATGATGTATGAAATGTTTTATTTCTTGTTCCTATTTGTAGGAAGAACAGGAACATGTATGCAGAGTTGCTGCTCCACATGTTGAAGAGAGGAGTTTTAGAAGGACCCTTCAACCACAGACCAGACCCTGGACCACTCAAGACCCTGCCTTCATATATGGTAATCATCCTCAAATAGCACATGGTGCTTTAGGCTAGCCTCTATGCAATTATGTTGTGCAGGTATTTCTGATGTCTAAAGCCCCTGTCACACATTCAGAACCTTCCTACAACCACCAACCAACCAAGGTTGGCTGAAGTTCGGGAGCAGTCTGATCAGGTATAGGTTACTCCTGTTTTCTACATGCGAATCAAATCAGATTTGAGTTAAATTTTATCCCAGAGCATGCCCTGAACACTGCTGGCCTACTCCTGGACACCAGGCATGACTTAATTGTCCCTTTCAAAACCAAACCCACATTCTTTCACTCACTTTATTGTCTTTTATTTCATATCTGACAAGTTTGAAATTAAAACAATTTTTTTTATTTTTTAGTCAAATTTTAATGATAGACAATATGAGATGGTCTGCAAAACATCTTGAAAACATTTTGCTCTTGTTGACTTTAAAGTTCATCTGTGTTGGTAGAAGTCATTATGAAGCAAGTTTAAACTGTAATTTTCAACACAACAAATTGGACTCACCCAAATTTTCGACTGTACAACTCCAGTCTTTGTCAAGGAAAATGAGCATTTCACCTCTTCTGTGACATCAACTTATGACACACATTGCTTGGTGAACAGTGGATCATAGTTTGCAGAAAGTCTGTGGCGTCCCCCGTCTTTATTCAGGGATGGTTGCCCTCACCAAGTCATGTGTGTCATCTGCATAATGTAACGTCACTGAAGCGGTGGATTACTCATTCCTTGACAAAGGCTGGAGTTGTACAATTACAGTTCAAAATTTGGGTAAATCCTATTTCTTGTCTCGGTAACTACAGTTTAAAGTTGATTCATATTGTTGTCTGTCCTACATGTCCAGTCCATCTACTTTGATGATGTGCCAAAGTCTACAATCCCCAAAAGTAAAGTAACAGAGGTGGGTATATGTGTCTGTTTTACCTTCAATATATATTAGGTACTACAAGACAGTATTTTGTAGTTTTTAGTGGTAGTCAAGATGTCACGCAAATTAAAAATTGGACTGTTCCAAACTAACCCGTGTGCAAAGTGGAACATTCCAAACTTCCTTCCACATTTAAAGAAGATTGCTCTTTAAAAACCCATATAAAATGCAATAGGGTTGATTCAACATAATAGTACTTAACTACAGGTCTGTAAGGCCACACCGACTTAATTTTATGGATGACATCCTCTGAAGACCCCCAAACTAGTGCGCGTGCAGTGGTCGAAATACTTTTTTTCAGTGCTCTGACAATATTGCAGAAGAGTTAAAATTTCGTCCTGCAATTTGGAAATACTTTCTGCAAATACACAAGCCCCCATATTACAACCTTCTGAAACCAATAATGCCTATTTTTACATCATATATATATAACGGTATAGCTTTGTAAATCTGTAGCATTACTAAAATTCTTCAAAATATCACTCTTTTAAATATGTTTGGACCGTAAAATTTTATTGGTCCGGTCCAAAAAAACCGAAACGTCGGTGGACCGGTTGTTTTGACCGGAACAAAAATCCATATTTGTTGCTACTGCATAACTGATGATCACTACATACAAAGAAGCCTGCCAGGAAAATGAAAATCCAGCCTTCAAATAAAAGAAGTTTACCTTAGTCTCCGTCTCTCTCATTTTGCAACAATATTTCCCGTATTTTGGTACCGATAGTCATCTAGAAATCATAAAGGACAAGCCTACGGGCCGTGCTTGGTTCGGATCGAGCCGAAAATCACTGATTTTACACCATATGGTCACAATGTGATGCACGTAAATTTTCACTCGAAATGAGAAATTACCGCCCAACAAAACGGACCATTAGGTTCCCAGTGCTGTATTTCTCTTTTGTTCATGTGATCAACTTGTTTTCTTTGCTTGAATCGTGCAAAATACCAAGGAAAAACATCGAAATTTCGGCAAATTAACGCCGAGGCGAGTGTAGTTTTTCGGAGGAGCCATGTTTCCTTTGCCGTGTTGCCTGCTGGGAAATGCTCAGCGAAAACTGCCGAAAATTGCCGAGGCAGTTGTCGGGTCCTCCCGGGAGACGAAATCTAACATCGGAAAATGGCGAGTGCCCATATTTGGTTATCGTCGCCTTTCGTCGCCTTGTCGAAATCGTTCAACTTTGACCCCAAATTCCCTTATATGGGACCATTACAGTCTGCTGGAAAACGCCGGCAGGTTCGTGCGGCGCAGGTTTTCGATCTATTCACAGCGCCACTGCTTTGCTAATTGATAAGTATTGAATCCGGAGCCTATTTTTCCTTCTGCAAAATTGCAGATTGTAAGATTTTTTCTTCTGCAATCTTGAAAATCTATCTGCAAATTGCAGACTGCAGACGGGTATTTCGAACACCCAGGCGTGGGTGAATAAAAAAAAGTCCGGCCAAAAATAAAAATGCTACTAAACCACAGGAATACAAAGCTGGTATTGTGAATTTGCAGCAGTACATAGCGACATATATGACAAGCCGGCACATGCTGGATTTTTACGGAATTTATGAATGGGCACTGTACGTATGTACTGAGTTCTTGAGTCGTAGAGCTTTGGCAGCCTGGGTGCCGTCCTCCAGAGTTACCACTGGCTCCATATTGTTGTTAACTACCATAGACTACCCAGGCCTACATCATGTAGAGCCAGAGCCTCAGAGGACGTGATTTTTTTTTTTTTGAGAACATTCAATGCACGCGTGGATGTCATCCATAAATAAAGTCCATGTGGCCTAAGGCCTAGGAAAAAAATTAAAATATAAAAATAAAAGAATCATTGCCAAGTCTGATAAAAAAAGATAATCCCTACCTACCGAGCCTAATTTTTTCAAGACTGAAACAGGAAACACAACTACGTTTTTTCCTAGATCTCAAGATATTACCAGGAACATTATGATCATAATTCATACATTTCAGTACTGTACCTTTATTTTCTCTTCCATCAGAATCCACATGTACCAGACTGGGTAGCGGGAGAGTTAGATGATACGCTGGCGTCTTCCCGCGCTGTCGAGGAGTCGAGATCGTTCTCCACCTCCCGCCACAGGTACTCCTCCCTCAGGAAGTCCCCACAGCACTCCACAGGGGTGGACAGTATGCTCAGGGACAGGGGGGCACATAGGTTCGTGTTCTGTTGTTCTGTTCTGAGTTGCTAGGGGGAGCTTTTTGTACAGTAGTTGAGATGGAAGGTATGATGAGATTATGACCCCCTGTTGCTGTGCTATGTTGTTTCTTACAAATTAACACTACTCAACTTTTTATTTCATTTTTCTCAGGGATAGAGGATCTCAAAAGTTTGTGTTGTGTGTTGTTCTGTTCAGAGTTGCTAGGGGGAGCTGTTTGGTACGAGTGACTGAATGAATACTATGATGAGAAGCCCCTGCTTTGTTTCTTACCAATAACACTACTCAACTTACCATTTCCTTGTTATTTCTTTAACAAGTTAGTCTAAGACTAGTTCAAGTACAGTACAGATTTTTAATTTCTTCCCTATACGCATGCAAATCACGCGCAAAACTTGTGTAGCAGTCCACTGTATTTTCTAAATCCAGGAACCAAGAAATTTGATAGTTGTGGCAGCGGTCCCAACAATTTGTATTGTGCAAACTCTGAGATAAATGGAATGCAAATGCTTCGTTCTAGGCGTGAGGAAAATGGCAGTGACGCCCGCGCTTCCCGCGCCCTGTACAGCAGTCGCACAAAACCGTCCTTCTCCCTGTCGTCTGACGAGAGCGATGAGGAAACTCGCAGACCGCGGCCCAAATCTCCGCTGGCTCCCGTCAGAACTTCACCCATCAAACCCAGGACCACCATGACCAGGTAGGGCACTGTGACAGGAAAATTTTAACGTTGGGCACCCCACACCAATTTTATTTGTTGTTTCTCGGATCGCCCTGTCCATTTTTTTCTGATTTGCAAAAAAAAAAAATTGGTTCTAAATTAACTGCAAAATGCTCAAAGACATATTTTGGCCCAAACGGTTGAAAAAAGTCTGTTTCTTCCCAGTTCTTCAATGTTCAAGTTTTTCAATGTAGCAATTCAATTTTCTTTCATGAAAAGTTCAAAATCTATTGTTTTAATCATAAACCAGCCTTGTATGTTCACTTCAATCATGGCTCATATTAGAACATTTTCAGCTATCATAACATCTGACTATTCTGAGTGTCAGAAAAATTATAAAATCATTGTAACAGCTACAGTATTTTTCTTAGGAAGTGAAGCATAGTTTTTGCTGACATTCTACATATTTTATCTCATATGGTGCACCCAAAAACGTTGCATTTACGTTGGGTGCACTAGTTCTCAGAAATAAATTTCGAGCCCTGAGAAAAATAGTATCTACAGAACCACTGTTATTAGCAATAATATTGTGTCAATTGCTTCTGTCCTTGAGTATGCCATCAGGACATAATTTTCCCTTGCCCCTGCTCCCTGCCAGGTCCAGTACCAGTACAGGATACGGCAGTAGTTCCATACGTGACCACGAGGACTCCACCCTGGGCAGACTTCACGAGAAGGAGCTGGAGATGAGAACCAAGCTGCTGGAGTCTCGCTTCCACGAGGAGATGTTAGTCCTACAGCAGAAACATGATGGTGCAGTTCAGAAAATACTAGACAGGTGGCGCTTGCACTCAAGTTTTTCAGTTTTCCTTTGTAAGAGTTTTAGGTCTCTGGTAATAGTAACACACACATACAAGTGATGGTAACATGTGTTGTATTTGCCTAGGACAAAAAAATATGTTGTGTTCCTTTTTTTTTTCTTTAATTCCTGAAAATTATTAGGTCATTAGGTTACGGTAGGGATTATCTTGATTATCTTAAATGAAATGAAATCTTTTTTCTTTTTTTTTGAAGACTTTGCCCATCGCTAGTGATCCAACTTATGCAATACAGTTTAACAAAGTAAAACTTGCATAAGGAAACTTGTATTTTCAATGTCTATGTTAGAAAACCAATTGTACAGCATTTCATCACTCAGGTGTCAGATTACAGAGCTAGAAGGGTTGATCAGCTAAAAAAATGTATGTCCCTTGCAGGGTTCCACACAAAATAGTCTAGGGTCATCAGTTTTTGTAGGGTCAGTCGCGAAACAGGAATTCAAATTTAAACACAACATGTCATTTTTTTTCCTATGCCTTACATGTTCCTTTGTCAAAGAAGTTAAATTGTATACTTAGCTGGCATTTGGTATTTTCTTGTGTCCACAGCAAATTTGCTTTGGTTGCATTTGCTCTTATTCGGCCATATTGCAGATAAATTATTGCTATTACTTCATAGAAAAACAGACACATTCTGCACAGTCACACAGTACACATGATGATAGTGGTCACTAAGTAGACTGGTTTATTGAACACTATAACAGCACGGACAATGACAATGGTGATTGGAATATGGCTTGTCCTAGAGTGAAACAACATTGCCTTTAATTATGTAAAACTAAAAGAGGACAAGTGGACATCTTGAACACCAACAGAAAAAAAAACAGAGAAGATAGTTTTGTGTACAATATAGGGTTTGTTCAATGTACCTGATGTTTGTTTAATTTGCAGGAAAAATGAAGAGATGGAGGATGTGAAACAACATTACCGAGGCAAGCAGCTGGAGCTGGAGGAACAGGTCAAAAAACTGGAGAAGAAATGTCAGAGTCTGGTCAAGGAATCACAGGTCAGAAACTTCTAGAGTTTAGTTGGTTTTGTTTACCTTAAGGAAAATGTATTGCTTTTCCTCTGTTTCTTCTTCAAACAGAAAAGGTCAATGACCTGGACCAGATGTCTGTCACCATGGGAAGTGGTGGCGTAGCCTGTACATTATGTAGCAAGTGGGAGGGGCTGGTCACATATGAATATTTTAGAGTAAGAATAAACAGAGCAGGAGTTTATGCTAGCACACGTGAAGATAGACATTATGTTACTTTATATATGTTTATTAGGAACTCCATTAGTGAAACAAAAATATTGGCTGCTATTCTTCCTAGCATCCTGAAGATATATATTTCCTTTGCAAATGTTACCTTAAGTTTCTAGTTTTCAATCAAATCTCCTCTTCCTATCATAAGATCTAAAATAAGTAGTTTGTCACAAGGAAAGCAGCCAGGACACATTGGACAGAAGTAGCTTATCTGCATGCCTTGCAGTACCATAAATGGCCTCTAGATGGCTCTTCTTATCTGTAATCTATAATATACTATAGGACTGCACATTGTGGTGCATTGCAGTACCATAAATCGCCTCTAGGTGTCTCTTCTCATCTTTAACCCAACTCTACCCTGTGCAGGTTATACGAGAGAACCGTGACCGTCAGATCGCGGAGCTGAAGAAGATGACGGAGCAGACCACGGCCAGCACGCAGAACGAGTACGAGAAGCGTCTCCACGACATGGTGGCGGACTTCGAGCAGGAGAAGTTTGACATGCAGAAACTTCACACCAAGAACATCCAGGAACTGCTGGATGATACCAACAACAGGCTGCAGAAGATGGAGCAGGAGTACCAGGCTCAGGCTGCCTCTACGGTGGGTAGTATTCTTGTTTATACTGTCAGGAAAGTTCATCTGTGTTGGTAGTTACATGTTTAAAGTTAAAACTTTAGATCCAACACAAAACAGTTCTCTCACCTAGCACTTTCAACAAGTCAATCTCAGACTGGTCTTCCTCAGTAGACTGACCCAGTGAGGCTTGTCACGTGGCTTCTTTGAAGTGTGACGTCAACACTGGGTCAAAGGTATCTGGTAGAGGATGTCGGCCCCCGTCGTGGTTAAGTGAAGGGTGATGGGCCCTGATGTAAATGGCCTCCTTCACCCCTTCACTTAACCGCGACGGGGGCCGACATCGTCTACCAGTGATGACGTCACACTTCAAAGAAGTCACATGACAAGCCTCACTGGGTCAGTCTACTGAGGAAGACCAGAGTGACTGGTCGAAAGCTCTAGGTGAGAGAACTTTTTTGTGTTGGACGAAAAGTTTTCACTCTAAATCATGTAACTACTAACACAGATGAACTTTCCTGAATTTAAACATATGCACATGTCAGGGAAAGAGAAAAAGACAAAGTTGAAACAAAACCAATTTACGGTATTGTAACTATCGTTTTTATGAGTAAATGTAGAAGTGTTTGCATGTTTTCCAAGCTTGTTGAATGTTCATCATTAAGGTAATTCATTTGTAACAGTGAGGGGGTTAGTGGGCACTACCAACTGACCCGGCCGAGGGGTCTAGACCTTTTAGCCGAGTGGTTTGAGGTTGTGGGTTCGAACCCCACCCGGGACCAGCGGGTCCTTTCTGTTTCTACTGCTTGCCTCCTGTTTCTTACACATTCATTCCTTCACTATCAGGGTAGTGTAGTAAAAGAGCTGGAGGCGCGTGTTGCCCAGCTGACTAAGGATGTAGAGAACAGTGTAGCGGAGAGAAACCGTCTGTCCACGGAGAAACTCCAGCTGGAGCACAGGTGCAGCGAGATCAGTGGGGAACTGGCCGACTGTCAGGCCAAGTTTGAAGGTAATATCTCTTTAATAGGGGCCTGCATGGGGGGGGGGTCCCGACAACACGTCTACGCTAAATTTTGAGAGCTCTCGATTACGCTTTGCGATAAATTCCAAGTGGCTACAAGGCATTACGTGGAATTAAAACAGCAAATTTACGCTCTACGCAAAAGGCGCCAATTATGCTCTACATTGAATTAGAGCGGCCCATCTATGCTCTATGTAGATTTAAAACGGCAGATTATGCTCTTCGGAAAAGGGCATGCAGGCCCCCTTTCATAGTCAATATTCTTGTCATTCTTTTAATGTAGTATCAACCCCATCCCATACCATACTGATATTCTGTGAGGCAAAAATGTGATTTAGCTGATGAGAGACAGTTGCTTGTTCTGTATCACAGGCTGGTTCTATTAGCGTAGTGTTATTGGTGGTACCAAAAAATAAAGGACTCTTCACATAGCTTGTTTTGGTGCTATTTCAAACTCTTTTAGTTAAAAGTATATTATGAAAGGATGACAAAAATGTGTTAAGAAATGGAAGTAAATGTCAATATCAGGCAGATTTCCTCAATTCAGAATTTTTTTTTTTTTAATGCCTTTCCATGATAACCATTCCATAAATGTCAGCTACAATGTGGAAGGTAGCTGTAGTTGTTTAGGCCTAGAACAATTAATGTTGTGTTTTCTTATTACACCCCTTAATGTTCTTTCTCTTCTTTTTTTGGCGATGCCTCAGGAGCTAGCCTAGTAGTACTACTTATGCCTGTTTAGTGATGCATACCTAAACCCAATTTTAGGTTCAGGTCCGGATTCAAGTCCAGAGGTTTAGGTGCAGTTCCGGACTTGTAAGTCCGGACCCACACCCATGGCATATACAAAATTACATGTTGGCAACCTTGCAATGTTGTCTGGGTGAAACTTTGGCCACATAACATGGAGGCCGGTACTTGACGATGCCCGATGGCAATGTTTCCTTCATTTTGCAGCAAAGATTTTGCAATCTATGGAAGGTTTTAGGTGGTTTGGAAAGAAAAGGGGTATGTGAAATGGTCTTTTAATTATGGTAATAAGTCTGGACTCAGTTCTTGACTTTTAGGTTTTTTTGGACTTGAACCTAAACATTCTTACAAGTCCGGATCCAAGTCCAGTGAACCGGTATGCAGCACTATGCCTGTTCAAGTGAATTCCTTCGGCATCACTGTAATGTCCATGGAAGCCTTGTTTACATCATTCACAAAATCTAAAAAGAATTATATTTGACTCAATTCCTGCTCCCTTCAGCCCTTGAGAGGAACTCAGACAGACTGCGAGAAGACCATGAACAGGAGCTGAGAACCCTGAGGAACAAGTCTGAGGCCAGTGTGGAGTACCTGAAGCAGGAGAACAGTCTGGCTGCAGCAAAGGCACACGACCACATCTCCGACCTGGAGGCACACGTCTCACAACTCAAACAGTCGCTACAGGACTCAGAACATGAGAGGCAAAGACAGATCAGGTATGGCAGCCACTAGAGGTTTTGTTATATTTAGTAATTTACCGAAGGAAAACATAATTTTTTTTGCTACGTTTCCTCTTCTTCTTCTCCAAACAGTGACCTGACTGAACCAGACGTCACCATGATGGTAACTGTTGTTGGGTTACATAATGTTGCAATTTTATAGTAGGAGGGATTTAGACTCGTGTCACCATATATGTGAATGTATTTGAGTAAGAATTAACAGTCTGAGAACAGACCATGTGTGAAGGTAAACATTATGCATTTGCTTTGCAAATGTTACTTATCTAGTTTTGATTGTTTCGCATAACTTGTAAGCAAGGTGGTCTTGTGGTAAGAGTTGCTGATTCAGGATCTGGAGGTTCTGGGTTGGAATCCCTGACAGGCCAGTTTGTTGTATCCTTCAGAAAGGCACTTTGCACCTGCTTCCTCACTTAACTCAGGTGAAAATGAACATATATAGCTTCAGTTAGGGACGTCCTCTCCAATAGGATATGAAGTTCTTGACAGTAGTACTTCGACCATTGCACACTGAGGCATGCCCCTAATCTTTTTCAAAAGGTATTGCAGGTTCTTAAACATGCATGGGGTGTGGCTCTCCCCAAACACGGGACCTCCATTTAACGTCCTATCAGAGGGATGTCCCAAACCCAAGCTAGATACTCATTTACACCTAAGTAAAGTGAGGAAAGCCATGTAAAGTGCCTTTCCCAAGGGCACAACATTGGGGAATGTTTGTGGATTTGAACCATGGACCTTTGGGTTATGGGCCATTTAACACTTTCTAGTACATGTAATATGCCACATGATCCCACTGACAAGTTTTAGTTGTTTCATGTTAAACTTTGTAGGGAGTTAGAAGCAGTCCACCAGCAGGACAAGATGCACAAGGAGAACCTCCATGAGAAGAAGGTTCGCGCGCTGCACTCAGAACTGGAGCAGGAGAAGGCAGACGCCCTGAAGAAAATCCACAAACTGGAGGAGGCCGTGAAGGACAAGGACGAACAGATTCAGAAAATGGCTGAAATACAGAAGGTAAAATAAGGCCGAGGAAAAAAAATTTTCTGTTTCCTGACAGACCCTAGAAAGAACTACTAGTACTGACCCTAGCTTTTTTTGTGGACCCTGCAAGGGACGTAAACTTTTTTAGCCAATTATTGACCTTTCCTAGCTCCATGATCTGACACCCAAGTTATGAAACATAAATTAAATCAGTCTTCCAATATTGACATTGAAACTAAAGTGTCCTCATGCAAGTTTTAGTGGGTACCACCAATAAATAGCTAGAACAGAAGCGGCCTACAATATTTACGAAACAAGCAACAGTTTTCCCTCAGTGACATCACATTTTTGCCTCACAGATATCAGTATTGATTCAACTTACCGTACTACATAAAAAGAACGACCAGAAATTTACTTTGAAAAGCCAGTTTTGCCACCCTGAAATTGCATTGGATACATGTACATGTGATGCTAAACTCATTTTCAGCAATTTGAAAACTCACTGGAAGAAGAACAGATGGAAAGGGTACAATGTATGGCAAAATATACAAACTAAGTCATATAATTACATTTTTGTACATAGTTGACGCTAACAATTATCTAACAGTTCTAAGAAACTGATCTACTGGTAAGCCTCTAAAATTGCTGTTTTCCTTCAGTTCCAGACCCAGCAGGCTGACAAAGCCTTGGAGGACTTTAAGAGACAAGTGGAGAAAAACTCCAACCAGGTGTATGCAGACATGAAGTCTCAGGTAAACATTAACAGTTACTCATGACAGACTAAGCCGTCGCCTGTTTTTCTGTCTATTGCTGAAACTTTCCTGCGTGTGAGTCGTGTGACGGAAAATTTTGTAAACCAATCTATGAACCTTGATGGTCAAAATCAACGAAAATCATGACCTGAAAAATTATTCTAAAAATTAATCTTAAGGATTACCAACAACCAACTTTCAGGAGAAATTGAATTTTTGAAGGCTTGAAACTCCAAAATTTCTTTCAGCAGCATTATTCCTGAACACTGGTGAAAATGTTTCAAATATAAGCTACAGTAGTACTACATGTAGTAGTAGTAGTAGAAGGAACTTTGGGGCCACACCAATTTAATTTCTTGGTTAACGGATTCGTCCGCTTCATTTTTTTCTGATTTGCAAAAAAAAAAAAAAATCAGAATCAACTGCAAAATGCTCATAAAGTCATATTTTGCCCTGAACAGTTGAAAACAGTCCTTTTCATCCTAGTTGTTACAATTATTCCATCTTTCAATGCAGTCACTGTGGTATCATTAAAAGTTCAAAATTCATTGTTTAAGTTTTGAACCAGCCTGGTGTGTTGACTTCATGGCTCCTATCGTACCATTTTGGGCCATAATAGGGTGCCTGGGCCTGTTTTCATTTTTTTACTCCGTGAAGGAGGTCAGGACCTTCGGACGGAGTGTTGTGATCGACTGATTTTTCATGTTCGCAGTCAAAACACTGGGTTCTCTTTGTGTAATCGGCACGCAATTTTATACGCCGTCTGCGGGCATGCCCGTGTTGATGCACGAATGTGTATTTTTGCCGTTGCTGCTTTCGCGGTCAATGTAATATTGCAGACGCACCCCTACGATTACAAGGCGAATTGGAATGGTCCAGAAAAACGCGTTGTTTGGAATAGCAGTGGGGGGGGGTGGAACTTCATGCAGATACGGGGTGGTTTTGATAAGTGGTTCCAGATGTTTTTGCCCATGCTTAAGAGATGCCAAGTTTTTTGGAAGATGTTCGCAGCCAAAACGCATTCTTCCGTACGTCGCATTTCTGTGTAATTTCGCATGTGGTGTGGCATTATGTCCGGGATGATGCACGTCTTTTTATTTTTACTGTAGCTGTTTTGATATTGAAGTAAATGCATATTTTAGAAACATCCCTACTTTTACAATCCTGTGGAATAGGCCGTAGGTTTAGGCAGTTGTCTGGTAGCAGAGGTACTGTAAGCAGATATCCTGGTTATCTGGCCGGCGGTAGTAACACTCGCGGTGCTTACCGCAACTGTTGCTGGAATTTGTCCTGTTCCAGGCGTGCTTAATTAGGTACAGGCACGGTAAGACGGTGGGGCTATCTTTCTTACTAGACACGACCATGATAGTCCGATCTTTATGTGAATGCAATGATTGTGTGTGTGTAATTAAAATGAACTTCGAACTTGAAGCACAGTATCTTTACACGCCCTGGGAACAGTAATGGATTTAGCTCTTTGTATGTTTTATGCTTGTGACGCGCCCTCATTGTATTAACCGTTGCCTAATTATAATGTCTGCACAGTAGGTCTGGCGTTGACGCTTGGGATTTTGTTGAAATATATAAAACTTCACGGAGGATTGTCACCTATGGCTTCTTGTTTATTTTTTTGCCCGCCCTCTCCATTATTTTTCTAGAAAAATCCGTTAAACAAGAAATTGAATTGATGTGGCCTGATGAAAAATTTTGACTGATCATCCCCTTGCCATGACCACAGATGGAGAAAGTAGAAGCAGACTTGGAGAGGTCTAAGATCCTGCGGGAGAAACAGCAGAGGGAGTTTCAGAGACAGCTGGAGGAGGAGAGACAGAGGAACGAGCACAAGGTATACTAACTTATCTCCTGTTTGTTACAACAAGTTTACTGTACTAATTATTATCACCTGTGAAATGCAATGTAAAATATTTTCATTCTGCCAAATAAGCTCAAATAAGGAGTATTGGTGAAAAAAAAATATACCAGTACATGTAGCTATATCAACACACAAACTTCAAAACAAGTTTCAAGTTTTATTCATAAAAATCAGCCTTGCAGCCAGTGCACAAACATATAGCTGAATAAGTTGGCACTGTCACTGATTTTTTACAATTGTGTAGTAAATACAAATACAAATTAACATTACAATACATATACAGACACACAAACAAACACATTACAAAGCCACACATGGACACTAAAAAGTACAGTCCAGAGAGTCCTGAGAGTTACTGCAAAGACTCATTGTACAGGCATATTGCCTTGTGTAAGAAAGAGTTTTTCAAACTTGAACTTCTAGGGGAAAGATGTCATTTTCCTCAGACATAATAACATTTAAAAGTCACTGTTAAAACTTAATTCTCTTCCAATTGAAACCTGTAACACGTAGCTAAATATGTCCTCCTCAACACTAGCTGAACTTCCAAACTAAGGTTAGGAGCAAGGTCAGCTGGTGTTCAGCGAGGTTGGTTATGTCTCAAAATGTTTGAATCATTCAGGTGTGGATGGGAGGCTCAGCCCTGGTTAGCTGGTGGTCGGGAGTAGGTCAATAGTGTCGGCTCAAATTTGACTCAAATTCAGCTTGATTCTGGTAGAGAGATGTATGTGCGTCAATGAAGGTTAGACATCCAGGTAATACGATACGTCAAAAAGCAGTTACTAAAGCAACTGGATATGATTTTGAAAACGTCTGGCGTAAAGATGTATGTGGCCTAATATGCTCTGAACTTCAGCCAACCTTGGTCGGTTGGTGTTCAGTGGAAGGTTCTGAATGTATTGTGGGATTAAAAAAGCCCACTGCATGTTTTATCTTGACAGACAAAAAGCTTAAAATAAAAGATAAAAACATTTCTATCTAAGACTGTTGGCTAGGAGCAGGATTTGTCACATTAAAAGATGGGGATTAGTCTTATAAATATCCTCCTTAGGACATGTTAACAGCTCCCAATCCCCTGGCATGTCAGGCTAAACCTTAGCCCAGTCTGTTAACCTATGGCCCAGGCTATAGGGTTAGATCATTTTGATAAGAGTAAAAAGATTACATTTGATATCATACATCCAACTTACTAACTCAGTTACTTTTTAATCTTTTTACCACTTTGTAAAATTACTAAAACTAGCATCACTTTTAGTTGAAGTCGAACAAATTTCAACTTTGTTTTCTTAATGAATTAGTTTGGTTAGACTGGACTGTGTATGTAGATAGGAATGTTATCAAGGTGATTCCAGTTATCAAATTTACATACCTGAGAGCATGCTGATGATATCTGGCCATGCCTGGTCGATGTTCCATCCGGTTTGAGTCACAAAACAAACTTACTGCACATTACTGCATCTGATTTACCTGAATACTTCAGATTTCACCCATACTCTTGTAGATATGGAAATGTGTGGTGTGTTCATTTGCCTGAGGCTACACAACTTTGTAAGCCGTGTCTGTCGGGAATTTGTTAAAGAAGGACACAGTCTAGAAAACTAGGTCAATTTCCTTTTTGTTGTTCACGTATTGCTTTTTATCTTGAAAAAAAGAGATCTGTGTCCTTCAAAGTTTGTGTTGTTAGCAAAACAAAAGATGTACTTACACTCAGGGCTCGAAATTAAAGGTGGTCCAATGGCCACTGAAATGGCCAACTAAAATTCAGGCTGGGACAACTAAAAAGACACTTAGGAACATTTTTGGACAATAGAAAAATAACCAACATCAGATTGTTAGCCCTTCTTTTGTTCATCAGGCACACGTCCTGGCTTTTGGATACGGAAAATTCCCCCCGAATTTCCTGTCTACTCTGCAATTATAGCACACCTGGGAGTGAACAGAAGCAAAATAAAGTTGACTTCAGGTTGGGACAGTTCATCCTCACTTCGGGACAAATGAAATTTATTTTTGGGACAGTGCTGGGACAACAGAAGGAAAAGTTTATTTCGAGGCCTGTAATGTCAAATGTTTAAGTCCTGGTGCTGTGAGGGTTTGTTACATTGAATAAACCATTCTCTCTCTTGTTAGATGCTGGAGTTGAAAGTAGCGCTGGAGCAGGAGAAACAGCAGATGCTGAGGAACCATCAGAACGAGAAGGACGTGGTACAGCACGAGCACGAGAAGGCACTGGAGAGTCTGGAGGACAGACTGAGGGGGAACATGGAGGATGTCAGCAGACAGGCTGAGGACAGGAAGGACAGAGACCTCAAGGTCAGACACAGTACAGTACAGGGTCAGATACAGTATAGTACAGTACAGTACAGTACAAGGTCAGACACACTACAGTACAGTACAGTACAAGGTCAGACACAGTACAGTACAGTACAGTACAGTACAAGGTCAGACACAGTACAGTGCAGTATAATTCAACTTACATATTTTGCAGACTATCTCGGAGCTGGAGCAGCAGGTAAGAGAGCTGCGAGAGGAGGTGATCCAGGCTAACGCACTCAGGAAACAACAACTGGTGGAGCTGGGACTGCTCAGGGAGGAGGAGAAACAGAAGGCTACAAGGTAACATGTACACACTGTATGGACGATGTAGGAAACGAACCCCCCCCCCCCACAAGGCTCAAATGTCCACTTTTTGGTCCACTGTTTATCTAAAGGTCCAAGATTTTTCTTTAAAAGATGGACTGATTCGTATCACAAGCGAGGCTAGAATCGTAGGAAAACTGCTCACTTTGCCATTGAAAAAAGTTATCTCTTCTTTGAAATCCTCTAAAAAACGCAGGAAATGCCATTTCAGAAGGTTCATTTTTCAAAATTTTCTGGGGGAACATACCCCCAGACCCCCTAGGAACCTCGCTCCTACGCCGCTCGTTGGTCCCTCAAGCAGTGGGAAGAACCGCCCATTCAATATCCTAGTTACGGGCATGAGAAAGACCGACGCTGGTGAGAAGAGGCTTTGTAGTCTTGTCTCTGTCAGACTCACTCAGCTCACATGGTCAGGGACTGTGTGAGTCAGCGACCCCAGAGTAACCACCAGGTCACACCTGGGAGACATTAACGACTGGGGACCCGATTAATGACCTGAGTCGCTGGCAATAATCACCTGACATTAACACGGTACACTACCCTGCCAAATAACCACCCCTACACCCCCATCAACACTTTACAGACAACCAATCACAGCCCTCACTCACAATAACCTAATCCCGGTAGTTGTGAAATCAATTAACAACAATTATCTTGATTGTATGTGATTTTCGGGGCCTCCGTAGTTCTCGCGCGGTGGTTAATCAGGCGGAAAGCCGTTGGTAGTCATTAGTACGGGTCAGGTAAAGTTCAGGGCTGATTGGTCGAAACATTTCTCAGCTGATTGACCAATTACGTCTGTCTTTGGACAACATGATAGGCTTGTGTCACTGTATCCACCTGGCTGTCACACATCTGCTTGGTTTACTACTGCCTGTTTCACTATTCACATAGTTCTACATATCAAATTTATCAATTTTAATATCCCAGCCTTCACGCATGTTAAACAGTTAAACATACGTACTTCTGTGGTCTTATGCTCTTCATATACAACCAGACAGTTGTATAATAGGCTAGTCTTTGATGTTGCGCTTGGGTTGTTTTTTGCTTGAGGCTAGAGAGTCTTTGTCTGGTGAAGTAACAAACATCAGGAACACAGGTGTCAGCAGGGTTCTACCCAGCATCCGCCTTTTTGTCATTTGACGGAATTTTGCCGCTCGTGACAGACAAAAATTTTACCCTGACAAAAATAATGGCTTGTAAAGATATTCAAAGAGATGACATTGAACTAAGCATAGCTTACCAGCAAAATTTGCCCTGCAAAATACAGGAAATAGCATTTTAGAGGGTCAAAATTCTGCCTTCAAAGTGATGCGACGTCAAACAAAATTGAGATGATAGAAAAACTTCAGGTTGGGTGTCTGTCCAAACCTGTGCACAATCTAGGAAAAACACCGAAAATCGAAAAAAGAGGTCTTCAAAAAAGAGGTCTTCAAAATTGACATCAAATTGTAGTAAATACATGTAAATCAAATATTAAATTATCATGTGGCAGGTTCTATCTGTAAACAATAGTCAGAGGGTACAGTATTGTCTAGATATAAGGCCACACCAATTTAATTTGTTGTTTCCCGGATTCGCCCCGTCCATTTTTTTTCTGATTTGTAAAAAAAGAAATTTTTTAGGTTCTAAATCGACTGCAAAATGCTCAATGAAAGACATATTTTGGCCCCAACGGTTGAAGAAAGTCCTTTTCTTCCTAGTTCTTAAGTTTTTCAATGTATACGTAACAGTGCAATTTTGTTTCATTAAAAGTTCAAAATCTATTTTAAGTTTTAATTATAATCCAACCTGGTATGTTCACTTCATGGCTCATATTGTAACACATCCGGCTATCATGGGGTGCCTTGGCCAGATTTTAATTTTTTTTGCCCTGTCGCTTCATATTTTTTCTGAAAAAATCCGAGAAACAACAAATGAAATTGGTGTGGCCTAATGGTGTTTTTTCCATTGATTAGTGCTTGTAGTCTTAACTCCCTTTACAGCCAATTGAGCAATGATCTCATGTTCTGTCCCCATGGGCACAGTCCCTGATGACCAGCTCTGGGGTAATCTCCACTCATTACAGGAAATACATTATGTTATTAGTCATTTTGATACCTGTAGATACATGTAGTTAAGTAGAGCAGTCAAAAAAGTATTACTGGTAGGCATAAACAAGAAGAAAGCCTGAATATCAATGATTCGGGGCTCGTATTACATTGTTTGGTAAAGGTGCACATGAGAAAAAAAAATATACTCCCACATTTTTTTTTTTGCTTGCACAACATAAAGCTTCAGATAGAATGTTAGGCCAAAAAAATATTCTGGATGAGGAAATCTGTCTGATGTTGACATACTGCCAGGTATCAGGCCTTGAGCGGACCCAACTCAGGGTGGTCTCGGCCGCGTTGGTCAGGTGGTCACCTTGGACAGGTTGCTTTTTAATGCTTGTGTCAATGGGGAAAATTTTGGGACCGAGAAAAAGCGGTCAGCATGGACAGGTGGTCACCTTGACAGGTTTGACTGTACATGACTAAGAAATAGTACACCTCTACACATACATTCTAAGGCCATACCAATTTAATTTCTTATTTAGGGACTGTACGATATTTACCGGGGGGGGAGGGCCGGTCGTCTGAGGGGGGAGGGCCTAGGAAAAAAAATTTGAACCAGGGGGAGGGCCTAGGAAAAAATATTTTAATTTGGGGGAGGGCTTAAACGTCTGTCCATACATATCGTAGCGATTTGCCAGTCATTGGAATCGGCAGAATTTTACGCTCCAGTAATATCCATCCCTATTATTATAATGTATTCGCCCAAATCTCCCACAGTCCCCTTCACAATCTTGCATTTTCGCCAGAATCGGCGAAACTGGACTACACAGCCAAATTACATGGATTAAAATCGCGGCAATCGCGACACCGCGAAACGATACCGATCAAAAATGTAGGGATGGCTTGTCTGAAGATTTTGAAAATTAATTTTCGCCGTTCAACGCACCCTTCCCAGTGGTGTGCGTGCGTCGCCAAAGGTGACCCGCTGGTCCCGCCTCGCAACTCGCTTCAACTTCTCGGCGTGGATGTCGGATGTCGACGGATTAATTTGGTATTTTTTTAAACCAAGGACTATTTTAACATTTATATCTATGTCCCTCTTAAGTTAATTGAAAACAACACGTAACTTGGCAATATTGTTTCCCTGTTTGTAATAAAATTGACGCGGAAGACGTGGACGAAAGGTAGGCTAGATAGAGGATTATTTCGATTACACTGACTGACCTTAACGTTACTGACTTTGAATTTATAGCTCGATGTACCAGCAAAATTTGTGCTGCCAAATATGCCCCTCAACATGCAAAACATGGGTTGAAATTCAAAATTTTTCCGGGGGGGACATGCCCCCCCCCCCAAAAAGCCGGGCCTACTCAGGC